ATCGAGGCCACATGCTCCACACATTTCTTCAAACAGCTGTCCATAGCGTTGTTCCTCAACCGCCGTAAAAGGGACCGTGATGACGATTCTCTTCTGAGAAGGGATGTGCAGTTCAGTACGAACATGATCCTTACTATGTCGGAGGGCAATCATACGAACAATGTTCGTCAATTCAGGCCTAAAATTCCCGCACAACCTATTCCAGATAGCACCGCAAAATGGCTCGTAGTGGAGGAACAGCAGAAGGCCGAGGAGGTCGGATATATCTTTTCGGAGCGGCGTCCCTGTCACAGCCCAGGCATTTTGACGAGGAATTAGACGGGCAACCCTTGCCGCATTGCTGACACCACTTTCAATCATCTGAGCTTCATCGATACACACTCGCCACCAAGAAATCCGGACCAACGGTGTTCTTCTTGGTTCATATCTTTTCTTATGCCGCAGATTCCTCTGCGATCCATCACCGGAATAGTGAACTTCTCGCGCAAGAACATTATAAGTAGTAAGTACAACATCTTGGTCTGCGAGCAACTCAACCAATTCTTCATCAGACAATGACTGGTGACGCTGGATACCAGTATAGTGGAGGACACTGAGTCCAGGTGCATGCACTTTGATTTCCTGTTCCCACTGTTCAAGAATTGCGGGTGGTGTTATTATTAAGGTTGCACCTGACGGCCTCAAGCTGTCATGGCGGTGGCCTGGGAAGGTTTCTTCAGGGGCTAGAAGCTGGCGATTAAGACATATTAAACTGATTATTTCAACAGTCTTCCCAAGTCCCATTTCTTCGGCGAGGATTCCACCTCTGAGATGGTTGCTCCCATCAAACCATTCCGCAAGGTCAGTGGTGACAATCATGAACAGTTGGCTGGCGAAGCAAACTCGTCCATCTGCATCAGTGAATTCCCGAAATGAAGTGGGCAAGCTTCCTTTCAACTTTTCACTGACAGGAACCACTTGCCCGTCAGCCTGAAGTTCCACGCCTTCCCTTTGCAATAGCCACCTCACGGCTCTCCTTTGGAATGGGAACAGCTGACATTTGATCAAACTGCATTTGACCTCCGCTGATGATTCAGGTGTATCTGGAGGGACGTATACGTTATCATAAAAGTCGCGGGGGCACCACCCAAGCTGTCTCCGACCGTGCCGCTCCTGCCGAGAAGCAAGGTCCTCTTGCTCCTGAAATATATATCTAGAAAATACTTCTCGTGCTCCATCGACCAGTTGATTGTTACCTAGAATATCCAAAGAATCCTTCCATAAGATAACCGTTTCAAGGCAGAAGGATCTTTTTCTTTCGGGAACAGGGTATAAAGTGGACTGATAGCACACGATGGGAATCTTTCTAGGAAGGCGATCGACACAAACAAGACTACCGGCGAGCTCCAGATCCTTGCTAAATGCGAGCAACGGTGGACCATGCGATTCATATTCAAAGACAGTTTCTCGGTCTACCGTCGTTGCTAGCTTTAGCTTGAACCAGTCAGGCGTAGTCGCGCCGGCACGAACATCTTTTGTGACTGAAATAAGGATTGGTAACAGGGAGAATCTATCAGAAGATATATCTGGGTCATCTTGAATCGGGCTTGCGGACGCGAAATCCTAATTAACGTCAGTGAATCATTCGAGCTAAGCCCATCAGGCATTAGCTTGATGACATACCAAGTACAAGTGAAAGCGCGCCAAGGGAATGTAACCTCGAGGCATTCGAGTATCCGAAAGTCCATTGAGTTCTCCGAGGCTCTGGACACCTGGGGCCAACTTGCGACGCTTGTTCGGGGGTGCATCGCTGTCAAAGCTTTCCGAGGACCTCCGCGCAAGAGCTGTTATCAATATATCTGGCACTGGGCCTGGAGATGTTGGCAAACAATTAGGCATTGTTTCCTACAAAAACTAAGGTAACGGATGTTATTACCTGGGCAATAAACTCTCTCCTCCGCCACAGTCATACTTCGCCCTCTCGTAACTCTACCCGATTCTGATGCTAGACGACTACAAGGCAGTAATCTACAAAGGGGTCGTGGCGGAGTCCCATGTGGAATCTACTATCTTATCAAGATATATCACGTGCTGATAACGTATGTACCGATACAAACTCCGCAAGTACTCGGAGTACGTACTAGCACTAGTACCAATAGTAGTAGTACTAGTACTATCCATTCAATGGCGTCGAACGAGCTCCGATTGGCCACAGCATAAGAAGACCAAGCAGGACGGGTGCTATCCACCTCTGGTCCATGGATCGATGTGTAAGATGTCAATATTGTGGGGACGATACTATAGTAGAGCACAGCATGCTGCATGCTAGAGAGTCACTAATGGGGATAACAAGAGGGCTCATCATCCTACTACTAGTACGCTGCCTCCACAATATGAAACGTAAGCTCATTCGATTGCTCCATCTGACTTCATGAATTGAACAGACACCGGATATTGGAATATTATTAGCAAGTCCGATCATCTACCTTCAACACCCTTCACCTTTTGTATGCATGATCGCGACAAGAATTCTACCGGACCGATGGGTTCAATTCCCTAGGTACTTTGATGAGATGGCTTGTGAAAACTACAGTAACTGGAGGCTAAGGTATATAGCACTTGAAGCTTCCAACTTGACTTAGAGACGACGCAGATATGGCATAAATTCATCATTTCAAGAGAGAGCCATGATCGCTCTGGAAATTCAAGATAGGTGACTGGTCATCTGTATCATCTGTATCGGACACAATACTCCCGTTCACTGCTCGGACTGACCTTTTGTAGTGACCGAGGATATTGCTGCTCTCAAAGACATCAGTTGTATCACCGAAAGATATAGAGCTGTTATCCGTGGGTTGATAGAATGCTTCGCCCCATTGTTGAGTATGCAAGCGTGATGGTCCCGAGATGAGAGTATAAGTAGAAATGCCGGTTCCCCCTGTTGTTTCGATGTCGAGACCCCTACTCATCCAAGCGTGGATAGAAAGCCCAGCATCGGTAGGGCGGTACGTTTGATTCACAGACAAGGGATATTCGAAAAGGACCTCATTTGATGTTTGGTTAGCTCCGAAGGCCACGATAGTAGACCTCCCAGCTGTGTGTTGATTAGTTGATTGGCTCATGCCTTGCTGGTTAAACAGGCCAAAATTGGAATACGTGAGGTTTTGGCTCCATAGGAATTCGGATGATCTTATTGAAAGGGTCCTTTCAGCAAGAACAGAGTAGGTCAGGGAGTCATTTCCTCCAGTCTGATTCTTGACAAGGCTCCGCGTAGCTCTGAACCGTGGAGTAGGTGCATCGACGTTAGGCTTCTCTGTTGCGGAGCTAGCACTACCCAAGGCAGAATCACTCAGATATAGGAAGATATTCCCAGTTACAACCCAATATGAGCCGACGCTGTTAGAGAGCGTGACGGTCCCATTTCGTGAAACATCCAAGCCGACAATTTTAATCTCAAATGAATGAGGCTGTCCATCTTTGAGAATGGGGAGGAAGGGCGAAATATCGATTTCAGGTTGTCGCAGGTCAAAGGCGTCTATTCCAACAATCGGACGCCAAAAGCCTGGTGCAACCCCACCGGTAAAGATTATAGGAAATGGCCATACAATACCAGCGAGGATGTCATCAACATAGAGCTGGACTTCGCGAAAGGGGGAATAACCATAAAGTTCGCCCATTGTGGCATTGAAAGTCTCCGTATCGTACGAAAAGACATTGGACCACCAGAACTCCTCAGTAGACTGACCACAGGTGGAAATGGACACAACTGCACGCGAAGTATTAGGAGGAAACTGGTACAGTGTCTTTGTATTATCTCCAGGAACAGTAAAGGCACTTGACGAGTTGGAGGCTGACTTCTTGTTCGATATTGGGAGAATTACGTCTGCGGTCCTGACATGGCCCTCACGGGAGAAATATGCTGTCAGAGTCACTCTGAAAGGGCCGGTATATTTATCATTTATAACGTTTCCAAGGTCGAAAATCAGCTTTTGTCGTGTCTGCCATAGTGCGTTATATTGCGACATATCCTTTATATAGGTCCAGACAATTCCATCAGCCGTAGGTTCTGCTGTCGAAGTACGGAATACCTCCGTATCTCCGAGAAACAGAAGTGCTAATCGATCAAATTGGCGGCCTTGGGAGGTAACCGTGAGATTAATCTTAACTGTGTCGAATTCACATTTGGGTGGATTGTAGTATCCTATAAAGATGAAATCAATATACTGTTACAATGGCTGCGCTCGAGGCTCTGATTACCTATAAACGGGTGGCCATAGCTCGAGGCAAATACATGCTCCATGAGCAGTACATTTTGGTTACAATGAGATCTGTCCTCTCCCCCGTATGGAACAGGTTGATAAACTTGAAATACTTCTAACGTGCCCTTAGAAGGAGCAGCGAAGAGAAAACAAAGCCATAAAACTGTGCGAAGAAACATAGCCACGACGTAACTGCTTCTGAGTCAGTCGTATTGAAGCAGGTCTGGATAGGCGATTCTTGGGTTCAACCCAGTTTCAAGACACCACGAACCGTTTCACATGAGAAGGCCGGTTTGCAATTGATACTTATCACCGGAGAAGCTCCCTTGAATTTTAATTTGCTGTGAACTGTCAAGTCAGGCACAATATAATGGTGTCGTTGAACATTATAAATTACCAGAGTACCACTTGAAGGCAGAGCAAGTGAAAGAACAGGACCTCTATTATGGGTCGAGGGGGCAAGTCACAATATAAGAAGTGACCAGTTAGGGACTAGTACTAGTAGTATGGCTCCATTGTGCATATATTAGCGTAGAATCAGGCCGTAGTGCGTATTAGCTGGAGTCAGATTTATAATCTCAACAACGGGCGTTTTGTCGGAGTCCGACAAGCCACCCCAGTCTAGTCCCATACTACTATCTGCAGGGGCAAGGCACAACCATAGGCGGAAGATAGAGCAATGCTGTCCGTGCAATTTGAACTAGATTTGGCGATGTTCATGTTGATGACATGACTAACTGACGCGTCATACAAACTTGCACATTGAACCATATTTAATCCTTTCTCGAGGATAAGCGGGCCCGATTTTGATCCCGTTACTAGATTCAAACGCAAATTGGTAAGAGCAGCGTGTGCATGGAAACCTGGAGGAAAAGTCTCACCCTTAAAACATCTGCCCTAATTATTTGAAGCATGTGTAATATGCTTAGCAGCGCCAGCTTCCAAATCGACATGTAATCGCGCTCTTCGACACTTTTGGCAGTTCGATAATATCAAGATGCACTGTTGAAGTAGCTGCTGCGTTGAATAGATGGCTCGTCCGTTTCTCGTTCTGTACTCTCCCACGGGGCTCCAATTACTGAGAAACTTGTTCTTGGAGCAAAGATCCGTTCCGTCTTTTCTGCTCTAGAGAGAAGATCTCGATGTCAAAATAATGATAAAATGAACCCGGGCTGTCGCTTATTGAAACAAAGGAAATGGGACGGAGTACATGGTCCTATGGTCCTGTGTAAGGATCAGAGGGCAAGGCAGTTCTATATACAATATGTGGAGTTCCTGAGTCCTCACCCAACCAAAAAAGCACGCCAATAAATTATTATTATTTTTCCCCGCCATCCTATTCTCGAACAAGTCTCCAACTCACATAAAGAGACGCCAGGCACCGAGAATCAAAGCGGCGGTACCGGTGCAAACACCCCTGGAAAACATGTATTAGTACAACGGAGAGCAGGTTCCCAGGATTCAAGGGTACGTACATCAGCCACTGTAGCGTAGAGAACTTCACGGCCTCTACGCGTTCTCTCAAACCCGCCACCTCTTGCTCTATTCGAGTTTCCGTCTCCTTTATTCGCATTTCTTGGCTATTTGCTTCTTCTCGAATACGACCTTTTTCAAGGTTCAAATCCAGACGAACGGATGCCTGTGTGCGCCCAATCTCATCCCGAAGTCGTGAATTGAGCTTAGCTAGATCTGCAGCAATCTTCTCATGCGACGAACGTGTTAGTTGCGCTTCGGTTGAATCTGCGTTGAGTAGTTCGGAGCGGAGTTTGGCGAAATCGACTTTCTGAGTATACGTCGATCTTTCGGTGTCTGTGGAAAAACTCATTAGCTCAAGAATCCAGGAGGTGCTACGCTGAATGCGCAGTAGTTTATGCCTTGATGCTATTTGACAAACTTCCGCTGAAGAATTGAGGTACCACTCACCTTCTCTGAGGACCATTGTCCGGGTTAGATTTTGAATAGACTCTTGGATAACATCATTCAGGACTCGCATCATCGCGACAGCCTGTTCCTCGCTGAAACCTTCCTCTTTCAACCGCTGAACGAACTTTAACGTATCGAAATGGTGGTCTCTTTGTTGGGGGGCGGAGGCATGGAAAGCGCGCCGAGCTGGTTTGAATGCAGCGACGTAAACACCATTATATCGGATAGGATTACCCGTGGGCGCTGGTCGACTGATTGATGGGCTCGTTGAACTTGGTAATCGTCTAGATATCGATGATAAGGTCGGCTCTCCGACTATTGCGGAGACGGATGTAGAAGAGTAAGGAGAAAATGTCAAAGTATGCAGTCGTCGCCCAGCAGAGTTCCGGCTATGTATGCGTAGCGTTTTCTGTTGCTGCCTTGCTGATAGAATGTTGCTCTGGGGAGGAAGAGTAGTCCGAGCTGAGGAGCCGTTCCATGTCAAGCGAGGGAGTATGGACCGCGGCACCTCGGTGACGGATTTTTGTGGTGCCATTTCCTTGCGTGGTATAATAGTAGTGTTTTATTCGAGCCAGGCGCAAGTAGTTTGTAGGAGGGGCTTCCAAAGATGGAATGTGTTTGATTCAAGTGACGAGGAGGAGCTCCTGCGATCCGGATGACTAACTAGGGGTTCTCGTACTCTCATTCGATGATCCGGGACGCAAGGCTAAGGAAGAGACGCATGGCAAATTCAATGCCCGTGGTCTCGACTTCCCCGAGTCGGAAAACCGAGGACTTTCCCGGCTCCGGACAAGTTCCGATACAAAGCAGGAACAAAGAATAGCCGTCTCTTAGGTCAGCAGACCCACCACGCACTTCGGCGTGTTAATCTACCTCACCTAAACGATAATTCCTATTTAAACGATAAATTTAAAACTATTTAGGCTCCTATATACTACTACTATACTTGATTCTTATTTTAATATTAAAATATAGATTATACAGGCCTATACAATTATCTAAGGTTAAAAAAAGTCTAATATTTCTACGCTAGTGTATCAATTTAATATTTTTTATTAATAACTCTGGGTGTGTATTTATAGCTAAGTAAATCTTTCTTTATATTCTATCTTAACTAAGATACTTGATAATTTATAAAAAAAGGTATTAATTTGTTAGATTCGTTAACTTAATAATTTATATAGTCTATCTACGGCCGAAATAATTGAGTAGAGTACTAATTAAATACTGCAACGGAATATAATTGATAGGTAATTTTATATAATTAATAAAAATTAGGTTTATTGTTTTATTAAATATTTTTTTAAAAAGTTTAAATTTATTTAGTAAAAGCCGAAAGATAAGAAGCGTTTTGATATAGAAAATATAGGTATTTTCCAATACTAGTACGATTATTTAAAGATCTTTATTAAGAATATACTTTTTAAAAATATATATAATTTCGATAAAATTGGCTTTTAACTTAAATAGGGAAAGACTTAAAAAATTATAACTACTATATCTTTACGAATTGTAAAAGAAAATTTTTTTAAAAAAGTAGGGAAATTAATTTCTATAATAGAGTGTATTATAGTGAATGGCTTTACTTTTTTTTTATATTTTATATTTAAAGGAATATATTATCTTAAGCGGTGGTATAATATAGATATTCTAGAGAAATATCGAATATCTCTATCTTTAAAAGGTTATATTATAGATAAGATTAATCTTGACTAGATTTAATACTTCTATTGTTATATAAAATACTGTATTTCTATAAAAAAAAAGATTCGATTACTATTTTTCGATGGCTATAAATTCTATTTTATCTATAAATTTTTTTAATTCTATAGACTATATTATATTATACTATATTATTTTCTTTCTTATATAATATATTTTGTATAATCTCTTGATAGATAACCTTTTTAAGTTTATAAATACTTTTATTGCAAAAGAAATAATAAACTTGTTTAAAGAGATATTAAAATAGATAATAAGAATAATTTTTTAAAAAAGATCTATTCTATTTGTACGATAATCTTTAAATAATATATAATCTAGAATACCTTTAAAAAGCGAGGTCTATATCTCTTAGATTTAGAAAAGATAATAAAATCTCTATATAAAACTTTAGAAACTGCTCTAGAACTTGAGATAATTACAATACTATTATTATTACTATTAAGCTTATCGCTATTATTTATAATATAAAATCTTTATTAAAATATTAATAAAGTGTAAAGTTTTATTAATAATAGCCCGGAGCTTAATTAAAACTTTATACAATACCTTAACCGTATATTCTAAAGCTTATTTAAAATTATTAAATTAGCTATTTAACTTAAAAATAATCTACAGTAGTATCTTCGATATCGAAAGTTTTAAAATAGATAAAAATTATAGAAAAAAGTTAAATACCACGGGCTACTAACTGTATATAATATAAAACGCCGAATTATAGATTATACTAAGATAGAAAGACTATAGGATTTTAGGTAAATTAGAAAAATAGAAGCTTTAAAATACGATAAGTTACTATAACCGACAAATATAAAGGATCTACCTAGTATAGAAGCTAGCCAGGTAAATAGGGAAGGCCTTAGATTATCTTATTAAATAGATACTTAAGGCGATATTATATAGGAGCTTGAATAGCTTTAAATTTATCGTTTAGATAGGAATTATCGTTTAGATGAGATAGACCAACACGCCGAAGGGCGGGTAGGTCTGCTGACCTAAGAGACGGCTACTAGGAAACATTTCAAAAAGAAACTAAACTCAATTCTGTCAAAGCATTGTATCACGGCCACCATAACCAATATTGTCACACAAAGGTACTCGGTTGGAGAGTATAAAAAAGCAAGTGTAAATTAAGCACGATAAAGATAGAAGTAGTGCGTGGTATTCCAGAGGCCCTACGCTTTTCCTAGTTCTACATCTACAGAAGCTCTTATCCATCACTGGTATCTATTAACTATGCATTGAAATAACCAGGTTTGGTCCGTACTATTCTCGTTAAAAATAAGCGAGACCTTTTCGGTAACTTCTGCTCAAAAAGTTAATTCAAAGGGGAGTTATTCATGGCCTCGAACGCTCAATATTCCATCTGCAACACGCAAGGGCAAACCTGGATGATGGGAGGTTGGCCGAGAAAGAATGATTCAGAGTACGTCGCATGTCTTGGAACAACTGAACCATGTATATTTCTTCAAGTAGGTAATTCGCTATAAGACATACCTGACATCCTCACGCCATAATCAAGTCTGCGTGTAGCGGCATAATAAATATCAATCCTATTTGGGCCAAATAAAATAAAAGATATAATCATTGCTGAATAGTACCTAGGTTACAGCTGGAATATTTCTTTCAGCTGCTTCATGGTATCTTCAGGGTCCTTGACCGCATGCCCAACTGTCCTAGAATCGCTATATATCTCATAATCATTACCGCCAGGGAAAGACTTATCCCCGAAGAAATGAATGGTCTTGTACTCAGTGCCCGAGAGATCTTTCTCGGCTTCGATATAGCGCAGGCAGTAGGTCTTGTCCCAGCCGGTTGGGAAAACGTCAAATGAGATCTGGCCACCAATCGAGTAACTACAAAGGCTATTATTAACATTGTATGGTTGATTACATGAGGCCGAAACAGTTGCATCTATGACTTACCTAAGACCGTAATCAGGAAATTCCGTCTTGAGGGCTTCTACAAAGTCCTTTCTGATGTTGTGCTTTTTGTCATAGCTATTGCCGTTGTAAGCCAACCATAGTAATTCAGATCAGGAGTGAGTTTCGATACGTACGCTTCGAATTCATTCCTCTCGTCAACACTGGCATTGCGGCCAACGGGACTGATATTAATCATTCCATTGCGGAACTCGATGAAAGTACCACGCTTCCTTGGAAGCTGCAGATCCGCGATGTATTTGAGGCAGAAATTAGCCAACTTCTGGTATTTCTCTTCACCAATCCAGGCGATAAAGCTGTTGCTGGCGAGGAACCTGCCCAAGCGGATCGCAGTCAATCCATTTTCGGCGAAGCAAAAATCGAAAAGTGAGGAAACTTTTGTTGAGGATGTGCCTAGTTGCTCTTGCTGCTTGGCAAGATCAGAGCCACCAACCTGTGCAGTGTGAGGCTGCGGGCTGCTTTACGAGAACAATGGGGACTAACAGTTCCAATAGCACACTTATGACGCAATTGAGAGAGGAGCTGGAGCATTTCGGGAGAGATAGTCTGCGGTTTCCATGAACGGGTTAGTAGGGCTTCAACCAAAAATCTTTGAGATAAGGTGCCAAGATAGTGAGACACATGATCGGATTTCCAACCTACCCTTCTCGCAGGAGTCAATGTACCGTCGACATCGAAAAGACAGATCGTGTCCTTTACCGGACGGTCCTCCAGAGCCGGATACACACCTACGGCTTCCGCTGCCATGACGCTGTGCCGAAGAGACAGGAGAATGCAGAAGGTTGAGATATATAGACAAGATAGCAATTCCTAGAGAGAACGAAAGTCAATCCGACATTTGTAGAAACTGAGACAACAAGCTGAATCTATAGCCATGAAGAACGAGTCCTGACCGCATGCGGCAAGAGGAGGGGCGTACCTAGGTACCAGGTAGATACCAACAATAACTTACCTCTTTTGGGGAGTTTATGTACTGACAGTACCAGGCATTGCTGTAACAAATGAAGGCGGTCAACTACTACCACGATACAGTACTATTATGAATATTATACATAGTTAGTATGTAGTATCTGGAGTAAGTATCCTGCAGGTCGGCGTAGGTTCATGCTTATCGATAACAACCAGAGCTTGGGGAAGATATGCACCGATAAGGATGACGTATGATACTAGTAGTATGGTGTTTGTGGTAATTCAATGTCAGACACAAAAAAGACGAACGACTTCTAGAGTTCGACTCTAGCGGTCAACGATGTAATGAAAAATACAGAACTATCATTTAATTATATATCCATTGAGCGTTAGAGTCTCTGGCCTCGGAAAGCCTTCCCACCGGTCACATGCTAAAAAATAAAGAAAAAGGATAAACATTGATCAAAACGATAGCCCAATATGCAGTTATCGCCCTACTGTGGACTGAAAAACTTTGGCTGCCAATTCGCTCAATAATCTAGCACGGTCACCTTGCGGAAGATCTAGGAAGACCTCGTAAACGCTTTTGCCCTTCGCGTCACGAACAGCGCCGAGCCGATTTCCCGCAACTGCACCGGCGAAAGCACCAGCAGCATTGGCGACAATGAACCCAAGTGCACCACCACTTATTCCACCAACAATAGACCAGAAGCGAGATGTCGGCCTGGTCCGCCGACGGCCATCAGCGTCAGTATCATCACTAGCAAGGCCCTCCTCGCGTAGCATCTCTTCAAACACCGAACCAAACTGCTCAGAGGCGCGTTGTTCACGATCGCTCGTGCCAAACCCGAATGAAGACCATGAAAATCCCCCGGTGCCACCTAGGGGTACTTCATCCTCAGTCTCTGCTTCCACCGGCCTTGTTGCGTCGTACTCTCTCCGACGTGACTCGTCTGAAAGGGTATAATAGGCATCGTTGATTTCCTGAAATTTGCGCGTTCGGGCAGGCCGTTCAGGAGAGTCGGCAGGTACACGGTCAGGATGTGATTTTAAAGACTCCCTGGACGGGTCAACCACACCGAACGTCAAGGCATGAGCAGCTGCCGATGTTCACCTTTTATACGCATTGCGAATTTCTCTTTGGGTTGCGTTAGGAGACACGCCTAGAACTTTGTCTGTATCCCAGTCAAAAAAAGCGCTATCGTTTGGTCGGGTGGGATCAGTATGTACAATAATCAGGTTGTTCTGTACACGTGAAACATTAGCGCTCACACGTTCTAAACGCAGCCTTGTTGGGTAGGCCTACTCGGCATATTGTTTATATTACTATTATATTAAGTAATGGTCTATAAATGTAGAAATTGCAGATTTAGCGTGTAAGTTGAGATGGTGGCCTCCAAATATATTCGAAGTAAGATAAGTGCGCCGAGCGGGGACCATGAGTTGTAACTTACACATAACAACTTGGCACGAGGAGGAAAGTGACGTAGTAGCCTACTGATGTTCCGTTGATGCCTTAGGCCGAAAGCATGGATATTTCGAGTCGATCTTGGCAGTCTTACGGCTTCCAAGACTGAAAAATGCTATTATTTACGGCTTTTATGGTTATTTTAGCATGTTATTATCACTCTGTCTCTATATTATATAAAAGTACAGGGGGGTTTCACTATTAAGTCTAGTCGCTAGGCAGAGTAGACCCTCCAAAAGTAAGTGCAAAATCGGCCGGGTACGTATAACACACGTATAGCCTGGACAAAGTAGGGCACAGAAAGAAAAGAAGGAAAGGACAGCTAAAAGCTTGTAAAGAAAAGGAACACGCATCAAAAGCTCAGGCTGCGTCAGAGATGATAACCTTAGCTGCCTTTTCGCTGACCATGTAGATGGGCAGCGCGATATAGTATCCGGGTATCTTAGGGAAAACCGACGCATCCACTACTCGGAGGCCATCGACACCTCGAACCCTAAATCGCGAATCTAACACGCTATTCTTGTCGGCGTCAGGGCCGATGGGACTGGTGCAGCAAGCATGATGGCCCCATGCTTCTCTCTTGATGAACTCCTTCAACTCTGCTTCAGTCGTGACATTAGGCCCTGGCCATACTTCCTCAAAACTTCCATCTAGGGGCACAATGCTATCAAAAATCTTCCTCGAAAACTCCATAGCTTCGTACACAGCCTGTAAATCTTTGCTGTCGGCATCGTCTCCTGTGATACCGGTATCAAACGAGTTGAAGTTAATGATCGGGGTGTCTCTAGGATCTGTAGACCTGAGCTCCACTGTGCCTGCATTATTGCGACTGTGTGACTTCAAGACAATCCAAGTCCAATGCTGGGAATCTTTCAGAGCTTCATAAGAGTATCCTGGGAAATATCCCTGGAAGTTGGCAGGGGCTCCGGATATGAGGAGGTCCGGCTCTCCATCCGAAGCAGAGGACTTTTGGATGATGGCAATCGCAATGCCATTAGTTGTGTATGTACCTTTTTCCAAGGCATTGTTTTGCCACTGTTCAAGACAAGGGTCTGGTAGACTATCCATGAATGTGCACTTGGTTGTAAGGGTAAAATCCGTGGGCGTCTTCCCAACCAAGCCGGTCTCATAGCGATCTTGGAGGTTGGCGCCAACGCCAGGAAGGTCAACAAGCACTGGGATGTTCCATTTGTTCAACTCATCCTTGGGTCCAATGCCACTAAGCTTCAGCAACTGAGGTGTATTGAACGTGCCTGCAGACAAGATGACTTCGCGGGCCGCATTGACATAACCCGGAGTACCCACAGGTGCACTTTCTGACCGTGGATCCGCTCTGTACAAACTCTGACCTTTGATATAGTCCACTCCAGTTGCCCTAGGCTTGTCACCAGATAAATCAAAGCGTACATTGGTCACAAGAGTGTTCAGTTGGATATCAAGATGGTATTTGCGCGAGCCATTGTTATTCACAGCATTGACCGTGTCCATCAAAAAGTCACGGGGACCTGTGCGTCTATATTCAGGAATGTCCACAGCAAGAGGCACCTGAAACAGACCAACTTGTTGATCACGATTTGCACCGTCGTTGTTGAGGTCCCGGAGCAGAATATCACCAAGGCCGGTTACGGTATTGATAACCCTGCCTAGTAAATTCTGACCAGCGGCTGTAGCTGCCGCAATAACCAGGGACAACAATTTTTGATCCTCAAGAACAAGCTTCAGCTGTGTTAGACTGGTGGTGAGCCAGCCATCAAAACCATGACCAGCAATGCTGGTTGGCAAATAGCGACTACGCTCTAGCTGTTTGAAATAATCGCGCATCTTCTCGGCTGACCAAGATTCATCGCCCGTAACAGACGCAATATTGTCCCAGTCACTGTCATAGGCAAGAATCGTGCTATCGAGTTATTAGAAAATATGATACACAGGTATATCAATAGCTGGGGGACTTAGTCTAACATCATGGCGTTGTGTGCGGAGCAACCTCCCAAGGTGCCGGCTCGAGGATACAAGATTCCGAGTGGTTCCGAATTAGCAGGGGGATTGGGACCAACATGAAGGTCTCCAGACGGAGTTCTGTACGTTATCTTTGAATCTTCCTCCTGGCGGGTCAAGTTAGAGTAATGGTTGACGAAATAATCCCAACGCATTGGCTCATATTCAGTCGACTGCAACTGCAGTGCGGGAACCTGCTGCATAGTTGCATTACCCTGATCATCCCCAGCGTCGATAAGAAGGACTCTGTAGCCTGCAATGGCCAACCGTGCTGCTAATGGGCCGCCTCCTGGGCCCGAACCGACAACTACATAGTCATATTCTGTAGCATGGTCGGATTCTATATGCGAACTGTTGGCAGATCGCTTTTGAGCGTTATGAAGCCCTTGATGATTAGCTTTGTGGCCACTAATTTATACGGCTTTAGTACTCGGTCAAAGAACCACCACGTAGAACATAAGGGAAAAGAAAAAACAACTTACGAGGCTAGAAGGGGAGAAAGGACCAAAGATAAAAGAAAGCGCCTGAGAAAGAGCATAGTCAAAGAGAGTGCGTGTACACTAGCTGACTGTATATGGACTCAAAAGAAAAGGCTTTTCAAGTCGTGCAATCTTTCATTCTTATGCTCAGTTCTTATGAGTGACAGGAGAAGAACTCCTGAAGATATGCTTGGAATGCCTTATTACCATGTGGCATACTAGGTGATCGACATATAATTGAACAGAGTATCCTTGGTAACTATATTAATGGCATTTACTAAGGCCCAGCGTAACCTAACGGATTAGCCCAAACCGAATGGTCTAAGTCATTAGCACCGTTGCATTCTACTCCGTATGAAAGGGCAGCCTGGATAACAACGAGCGTTGCTTTTTTTTTTCCAGTTTGATTTTTATTTTCCGCTTTTTCTCTATATTTTAGTCCAGTCTGATTAGTCTCACATCGTAATTGCACTTTGTGGCTTGGAATGGCATGTAGGGCTAATCTACAAACATTACAGTCAAAAATTGTGAGCATACAGCCCAATTATATACAGTACTGTCATACAGATTATTATACCTTGATCATCGCTTCCCCTTGCAGTCTTCGTCCTTGACAGCAGCCGATCAGTGTATTCTTCTCATATCCTACAGAGCGGCTATAAAAGGTAGACTAAAAACGTCTTCAAGGGTATAATACTGAGCTGGTATATACACCACTGGCCTATTACTGGATTGGGTATATGGTCAGTCATAGATTGAAGAAGCGGGATATATGACTACAGATATAAATGCATTTGCCATGTGGGTCGTAAGCTGAAATCCAACGTCTGGGTCAGACTATGCCGTCCACAATCGGCATTCAACACTTCTCCAATTTGATGTAAGACAGGGGATGTAATGACGAAAAGAAAAAGAAAAGGGGAACCTCCACCCCAAACCGATGGAGTAAAGACCACGAAGTTGTCTGCCCAAATGAGACAGTTGCGTGCGGACTCCTCTAGCACAGGCCATACTAATCGTGGAAGATAAGCCGGTGTTTTACCATGGAGTGTAGTTGGTGATGATCAATTGCGGCATTTTACAAGGACGCTCACTGGATATCATTATTCTCAAAGGAGTACGGAAATATTTACGACTAGTTGTGCCCGACAATCTTAAACTTACTAGTAGGTACAAGTATCGCTCCACCGGGCAAATCTTTACTTTTTCAGGGTGCTGTCAACCTTAGCCCTAATTGTCACCTGCCATTCCCCGAAGTGACTAAAGTGTTAGACTGTTCCTCAATGTCTTAGCTGCTGGTGTTTTCAGCAAATAGCGGGAAATTGGTTACTCTACGAACGAGAAAGGAAGGCATAAACGAAAGAAAAGTAAAGGTATTAACAACAAGAGGGCCTGGTCAAACCGATTGTGGTGTCGAATGACTCGTAAAAGAAACAAAGCCCACAGAATGTGCCATGTCTGAGGAGGTTCCACTTCCTGCGCACGGTATGGAAAGTAACTACGGAAGATATGGAATCTAGCCTCTATTTCTCAACGGCCGAGCGGAGTTCACCCGAGCTTCCGAGTCCAGTTAGTACTACTAGCACGAAAGCTAATCTGGCTGCTGAAGTTGATACGGTTACCGATGACCCCAACATTTGGGGCCCCCGGGCCGAGACTTTCTGGCCCACTGCTAGTTGTACGTTAATTTTAATAATTAACGTGCTCAGATTGAAAATTAGGTTATGGAAGTCTGAACCCGAGGGCTAGTCTACCTTAGTTGCTCTAGGATTCACATGTATTAATATTGTCTTAAGGAGAAGTGATGAGAAAGAAGTACATATATCAAGGTGCAGAGATAAGAAAAGCAGAATATGCTCGGTAAGGAATGCAATGACAAAGAAGTCAAGATCATAGAGAAAATTCATGAAGAAGGTCAATAGTAATTGAATGAGCGGTCCTGCATCCGGCAAGATCATCGGCTTTGTAAGTCAAAGTGGTTGGAGTTGTCCATGTCTACAAGGGGAAGGATGTCCGAATCATCTCCTTTCACCTTGGGCTTGATTTGCACCACGCCTTCGAGCCGAGAGCCCCCGGACCGATTGGTGCTGGTCTGAGCCCTCGTATCACCAAAAATGCTGGGGCAGATGCGGGTCAGTAATGAGCGGATAGCCGGTAGACAGGCACAAATAATTCCCACGTGGACCTCGATGGTGCTCCAGTATCCGACTTGGACATAGTCCCCTGTGTGGTCGGTTAATCAACTATGCACTGGCATCCCTTCATCCAGCCAGCGTGGACTTACAGGTCAAGTTGTTGGTATTTGCAAAATGAATGAGTGATTCCAGTCGTAGTATGCTGACCAGTGTGACACTGCTCCGTATGAGTAAACTGATTAATAGTAGCTCCATTTCAAACACTTACAAGATACCAAGGCTGAACATACACATCACAAAGAGCTTCTTCCGCAGGGAAAGCTGCAAGTTGTAGAGCTCACGGAGAGGCATTATCATGACGATCAAGTCCAAAGCCATATTGAAGATGGCTGCCGCCCAGCCTTGTGCGTTGATGTTGTTGCACTGATACTGGTGCTCTCCATCCCAGTGAAGCCACGCGCCATCGAGAGGCCGGCACTGAAATACAGAAATCAACACAAATGCAATCAGGTAACAAACATTGAGGCCGATCACAATGTACACAGCATTCCGGAATGAGCGCTTTGGAAAGACCCTCAAGTAGAAGAAAAGAATCGAAATCTTCGTCAATGGTAGAATGCTAAGGTATAAACACTCGTCGAAGAAATATATCTAATACTCCCAAATCAGCACCCCATATGCTGTAGTGATACCTGCCTTACGAACCTTGAGAATACGGGTAATATTATCAAAGGGAAGCGTCCAGATATCTTTACCGAGGCCCGTATCAGCCACTATGAGCCATCGTCAGTATAATTGCTCCCTACTGGGCAATCGTAGTGCACATACAAACGACAGATAACGACGAGAGCGGAATGACAAGCAGCTGCAGTATCCTAGTCAGATATCTTGCGCCCTTCTTTTGAGTTTTGGGAGGAGCCATACCATGGTCACTGCCATTGTCCAGTCGTCCCACCCAAAATCACCACCACAGCACTTCATCCTTGCCATTATTCGAAGAGCAAATGCTACAAAGGCCAATATTCCTCCCACAACGCCCGCTATGGACACCACCTTCGTATGATCTCGCACCGGCCGACTGCAGGCTGTCATTGAGACATTTTTGGTCGCTACATACAGTTAACTGGAGATGTTGAGGGTCAAGGATATTAACGTACTTAAAGAATCCCGGATGGTGCAATTGGCTGCAACACATATCTCTATACTGGCAGTGAGAGCAGGATCCGTGCATATACAGGCCTGGTCTGTAACTGCACAATTAGATACTGCAATAGATGAGATCATGCAATTGAGCTGGCCCAGTCAGCTTTTCGTCATACCAATGTGAAGCTATGCGCTTACACCACATCGCGGCATTGCAGCTGCTACTTCCTGTAGATTTGCCAAGACAAGCGCAGGAAATGCTACAGCCAGCAGTATCATTGAAAGAACCAGCTTCATCCTCGGCGGCTCTACTACTGTGTGGTTGGAAAGAAAGCCGCAACCAAGAAGAAAGAAGCAGAACGTAGAAATTAAAAAGTGAAAGAATGACTAAAGGTGAATGTCGAAGAGAAAAGGCAAATAACATGTCCAAGGGTGCTTGATCATTTATCAGGATGTGGAAAATTATGACGGGCTCGGATGGTTTAGTTGAATATATGAATGTATGATATGGATGCGGTGATGATCAGCATAACGTGTAAATATTGAACTGTTCAAAAATAAATAAATGAATAAAAACCTAACAGTTCCACATTTTGAGTGGGCTTAATCTGCCCATTAGACATCGTTATCCATGATCACATATACATGGGCTGGATTTGGCTGTTTGAGTTTTCATGGCTATTCCCGATTGAAACTGATAGAAACCTCAATAGAAGCAGCGGCAGAATCGGCTTGCTCTCTAGTGTCCATAGCCTCTCTTTTTTAGTTCTGATTTTCACAGAACAAGGATAAGGGGTTGTTAATCGTTAGTACTTTGGTTCAGTGCTCCATCTTTGCTTCCAAACATTTGCCCACTTGGAGGGGAGGGTAATTAAAAAAATCAACAAATCAACAAATATACATACATACATACTGTATAGTATAAATGAAATAATATGAGATAAGATAAAAGAAATCCTCCATCACGCTCACACAAGCCCACACTGAATGTGTGCAGCCTTGAAGGAGCAGTCTCTTCTAGTAGACTAGAATGAGTTTAAGTTGATCCCGCAACGGTTGCGAAACATGGTAACGATCCCGTCGGACCCGACCCGTTGGCTGTAGCGGGGCAGTGACACTTGGGGAAACACCGCAAGCCGCCCGGACGAACCCTAAGTCTGAAGACAATTAGGATCGGCATTCAACCCTGTCCACCCAGGAGACGTACAGGTTTATTGTATGCAAAATTGTCTTCAGCTCTTGCCACCTTTGTGGGCCGTACTCGTGTCATTCTTCCCAAATTGACCAATTTATAAATGCCTATAGATAAATAACTCATTCATTTGTTATATAACACAGTCGTGAATCCATTAGTGCAAGATTCTAACGCAACTCTGTCACAGTGGCCATATATGAATGGACCTGGGAGGGGTAGCTCCAATTTCTAGAGTGCGATACTAGACTTAAATCTTACCTATCTACTTTATAACTCTACTGGGGGTTGAGGGCCAATACCGTGACCTTAGATATATGCCGCACGTAGGAGGCTCGGGACAAGCCTTCCCTACAAGAGGCGATAGGTATCACTGCGGCACCGGGTTCACGGTAAATGTATATATAAGACATAACCTTGGCAGATCAGATCCAGGGTCTCAGTACCGTCGCCTTTTGACACAGTTAGGAATAGATTTACTGAGATATATATTCTTACAGCACCTCTATACTGTTGAATTAGCAATTATGTAATAGAATCTGAACAACTAACGTAGCCGGTAAGCGGTGCGGTCATGTAAGTACTTGTTACAGACCCTTGTCTAGCGCACCTTATCAAAGGCGGACACACAAGGTAGAATAACGATAGGATGACGATAGCTGATTCCTGAGCGGAAGGCACCCAACAAATCGTTTATCTAGTAGTTATTTGGAAAGGGCTGCTAACGCTAAAACCGGCTACTATAACAAGTCGCGTGTATTGTAGCAGTGACACGACCAAACGTATCAATAATACGACGAGCTTGTAGCACCGACAAGATACATCGTATCATAGATACGAAGAGTCATAGCAGTGATATTACAAGGAAGGGTATATAAGGATACTTATTTTATGTACTTAGTTTAGTTCTTCGTGATTAATTAAAATTGTTATTACTGAGTTATCTTTAGTAGTACAACCAGTCTCAACTCGTTTATACTCTCTTAAACTATTGGGTATATATACTTAATAGGCCTGGCCCTTTAAACTCGAGTCTAGTATCGACGGTAGTCTTGTATTGACTGTATCTCTATAACAATAGCAGTCTAGTATCGATAGTAGTCTTGTGTCGATTGCATCCCTGTGACGACGGTAGTTTAGTATCGATGGTAGTCTAGTGTTGACAGTAGTCCTGGAGTGACTTCTATCTCACCCAGACCGCAATCTAATAACGACGGAAGTTGGGGATCGACTTTAGGTTAGTAACCCTCGAAACGTGGTCCGCTAACTGGTCTCAGACTTGACGACGAAGCCCCGGGCGTAACAGGTGGCAGATATTGGTTGACCCTACTGAGTGTGATCTTGGGATTAGTCTTTGCTGTGCGAGAAATAAGCTACATGGCAGATACTTTTCTAGTGGCTAGGCTGCTCAAGACTAGATAGAAGGAGCCATTAGGGCTGATGCGGAGAGTCACTCTTATTCATGCACTCAATCCTTGGGCTTTAGAAGCCGATGTTCTTGGCGAAGCTGCATAGCCTTCTGGCACCATTGTCAATCCCAGTCCATCTACTCGCTGACCTAGCAGGACAATCGATGGATAACCTATAAAGGCCTTTTTTGGTTCTAGAGTGATGTTCATATCTTCTAACTTGCCAAAGACTTGGTGCAGGTGGTTGATATGTTCGTCGAGGGTCATCGACGCTATGACAATATCGTCGATATATGCCCTGCAGAAGTGCTTAAACTCGGCTAGCGTAAGGTCGAGCTGTCTCTGGACATATGGGACTGAGTTCTTAAAGCCCATGATTGCTACCTTGAACTGCTCTTGCCCACGGTGCGTGACTACCGCTAGCCTGCGACGATGTTTCTCCTTGACTCTCCATTGGTAAAACCAATTTCGAGCATCGACCACTGATATGTATCGTTTGCCTTGGATCATATTAATGATTTCCGACTGCGTGGGGACTGGATATAAATCAGGTATTGTTTCCTTATTTAGCGCACGAATGTCAACTACTACTCGTGATTTTCGGAGTGGTAGCCGTCAGGACCGGGTATCGTTTTCCATACAACAAATACTGGGTAGGCACTTGGCGTCGGTCCCCGACACGTCTCCAATTTATCCTGCTGGTGGAGCTCGTCGAACATTTTATCAATTATAGCCTCATCTCTTGGGTTGTTTCGATATACTTGAGGCTTTGGAAGGCGATCCTCCCAACCATGTTTCAATGGCACTTCCATCCAGGACTCTTCAGGGACTCTGACAGTACCTACTCTGTCTTTTCCCCATATGCACCGAGAGTATATGCGGAGAAGTTGTCTTGTTTATTCATCTATCTAAGCAGCCGATAAGCGGCCTCCATACCGCCTTTCCTGCCGCTTTGCAGTAGAATACTAGACGGAGCACAACACAAACTACTGACTCGTTTCTATTTTAAGAATATCTGTCTCTTGACCGTCTAATATACCGCTGAGCGGTTGAGGGCAGAAAACCAGTTAAGAAATATATACTGAATTGATAATATTCCACCGCACACCATACCACCGCACACCATACCGCCGCCACTTGCAAGCTACCTTATTGTTCTTAGCCATCTTCTCATCAAAGAATGAAAGTCATATACAGCATCCCCCTTGCGGTCTCAGGAGAATTTCATCTCAGATTTTCATCGAGATCTTCTGATCGACATATTCAGGTTGACGATCGCATTAAAAACACCACACTATACAAGCTTTCTTCACTAGGGAGTCGAAAATGGCATCGCGAAAGAGAGGCCCCCCAAGTAGCGAGACCCAATCACCAAGGAGAATTCGAACTCGCAGCTCTGGAGCTATAGAGAGATTGCCGCCCAGCCCAGCATGCCCAGGTGAAGTGAAGACTCGCGATCGTGGCTCACTTTTAAAACTCCCGCCGGGGTCTGATATCTTCGAGGCCTTTGCTAAGGTCAGAGCAGACAAAAATCTTACAGATGAGGAGGCGTTTCTTGAGTTGCTAGCAGCTTATGATATCCCGCTGTCCACTCTCTCCCAGATCTCAGCCAAGAAGTTGGAAGTCTCCTTTTCCAATGTGACATACAAGCAAATTGCGCCATACGTGTGGTTAAATCCTCATGCGGGAGGTCGAGATATGTTACGACTAGATGTCTTTCGATCCCGGATTCCTACTGCCATGTTTCAAGATATTGTACGTGATGTTGAAGATGCTTTCACACAGTACGGTCCCCTTGATTCCCACGACAACGAAGAAACCAGATCCCGCTTCATCTCCTCTCTTTTCACCCGCATTGTTTGCGTATTCAACAGTATTATTGTCAATAAGCCGGAGACCCTACTGGACGCTGAGTTTACTCGAAAAGGCCGTATTGGGCACCATTTTGTTGCACTCGATTCGGTGAGCATTGTTTTTATTGAGGTGAAAAAGTCCTGGACAATGGGAAAGCAAGGGCTTGATATAAAGGGCCAAGTTCTAGCTGAGTGTGCAGCGAGTGACTACACCAATATGAAGCAAGGGCACTGGGTGCCTATCCTTGCTATATTATGCGATGGGAACAACTTTGAGTTTTTTGTCTTTGACTCTTCAGCCAAAGAAATATACTCATCACGCCGCATTACAGGTATTATAGCCGATGAGCTAGGCGACCATGCTGATCTCCTTCTTTCTACTAAAAGAACTTGCGAATACCTATTCGATTGGTTTGTCATGGGCTATATCAATAGCCTTCAATCATTTGGAGATCAATCACTAAAACGATCGAACACTAAAAAACGAGAGTCGACTAGTCAATGGGAGAACGCGCTCACGAATGCTCATACTGCGCACTGGTATCTCAGAGAGGCGGCTGAAGCCGCTAAAAAGAAAAGGTTTAATGATGCCGAGACAATGGCAGGTAGAGGCTTGGAGCAGCTCAAACAGAGCGTTTTGGAGATCCCCCGCGAGCCTCTATATGAGAGAAGTCTCGAATCGTTATGGGATGGCAGTGCGCCTCTGGAAGAGGCTCTGAGCAATCGAAATATCTTCTAAACAATACCTATGCTTCCTAATCACTTTTCAATACTATACCTTAATCTAAGAATTATCTTCAAGATTTATTACTTCAGTAGCTAGGTACATTTTTCCTGATGTAATGTAGCCTATGCTCCATTGATTTTGGTTTCCTGAGGGCGGGGTTTGGCTTTGAACCCGAAACCCGGACTGGGTTCTAGTGTAGTGGAGGAAAAGTTCTTTGTTCCCACCAGCCGTGGTTACATTTGAGTGACTACTACCGATGAGAAGTTGGCTGCGATTAGGCAACTACAATTCCATACTACACTCAAGTAATGGGAAACCTACTTAGGACTTGCCGGGTGCTTTCGAAGCTACATAGCGCGATATGCCAGCAAAGCCAAACCGCTTACCGATCTTAAGACGCTACTACTCAAAGGGGGTCCTACTAAAGGACGACCAAGGGCCACTAGATCTGCTCGTACTCTAGTTGACCCTACGCCCTCGGAGCAACGAGCTTTCGAGACCCTTCAAAAGGAGTTCGACAACCCGAAATTTCTCAGACATCATGACCCCGGTTGTCAACTGTATATCGACCTCGATAGCTCGAAGGAATTCGGCCACGGAGCCATGGTCTACCATTTGAAGGTCTCTTACAAGCACGTTGACATACAGATACCACCCGCAAAAACAGCGGTTGAACCGGTGTTGTTCCTCAGTCACGGTTTGACTCCAGCAGAATACAATTACTGGCCAACCGAACTCGAAGTCTCATGTCTTGTATGGGTGATCAAGAAGATTCGGCATCTTATTGAAGCAGCCCCAGAACACTTGCTTCCTGTTGTATACACCAATCATTCGGCAACTGTTCAGATATGCAAGCAAACTAGCTTGCGGACGGCTTCTACCGATAAATTGAACCTACGTTTGATACGGGCGTCACAATATATCCAGCAGTTTTCGCTAAAGATCGTACATCGATCGGGAAAATCAAACACCGTGGCTGATGCCTTGTCTCGCCTTCCGGTCGACAGGCCCTTGTATAATGATAATACCTTTGATTTGGACGCTTTGTGGGCGTCAAGCGCTTATAACCTCGCCGTATTTGAGGTACAGCTCTCTGATGACTTTATAACTAGGTTGAAGTTTGGTTACCAATCCGACCCGCGAGCAAAAGCGATCTCAGAAGCACTTCGACTACGTGAATCGCCTCCAGACCCAAAAGTGATACCCTATACACTTATCGATGACCTTGTATACATGATTAAACATACCGGCGACTATTGGTTGTATATACCGCGTTCGATGGCGGGCGAGGTCTTCCGGGAAGTTCACGACAATCAAGGTCATCAAGGTTTTAAAGCCTGCATAAAGAAATTGGAGGGATTAGTAGTGTACAAGGCTTCGCGATTACTCAAACTGTATATCAGCCACTGCCCAACTTGCCAAGCAAACAAAGCACCTCGGCACAAGCCCTACGGGCTCCTTAGCCCGATCCTAACTGCTCCTGAACCATATCACACGCTGACTATGGACTTCATTGTCCGACTACCCACGTCAAGTCAAGGAAATGACCAGCTGTTGGTTGTAGTTGACAAGTTTATAAAGCAAGTTGGATTCTTACCGGGCTTGTCGAGATGGCAAGCGGACCAGTGGGGCCGAAAGAGTTGAAATGTTCCAACGCTCGGACTGGGGTATCCCTCAAAATTTCATTTCCGACCGAGACGCACGGTTTATGAGCGCATTTTGGAGAGGAATGTTCAAACAGTTGGGCTCGGCATGGAATTACACAACTGCTTGGCACCCGCAGTCTGATGGACAGTCCGAAAGGACTATCCAAACCGTCAAAATAATGTTCAGACATTACTTTACGAAAGAACCCCTTGTCGCCGAAAAGTGGGAAGAAGCATTGGGAACTATACAAGCAGTTGAAAGAGTCCCTGCGAGTCAGTCCTTGAAAATGAAATTGATACTTCTAAAAATTTACATTTGTGTTTTCAAGCCCGTAATTTAATCTGTTTAAAAAGTGGGATGTTTATATGCTTTAGATAGTGTTAATTTCAAAACTTCACCCAGAATTCAAAAAAATCAAGAATTGATTGATTTATAAGCATTTGAAATTTAACTAATTAGTTTTTGAAGTATGGTTCAAGGTCCAAGGATGGCACGCGGCCCAAAAAGTCGCCAAGATCTGAAGACAATTCTGCACCCTCAGACTCTGTAAAAATTGCGAAGCAATACCATTGTCTTTGGATGGGATGGCTTATCTATTCTTAGTCGGTCCAACCAAAAAAAAAAAAAAAAAAAAAAAAGGAAAACAACCGGCAGAGACAGCCAAGTGGGAACGACCGTTATAACTTATATGGGATCTTCAATTTGGTCCACCTGGGGTGGGTTTAGCTAAATATCTCTCTCTCTACTAGTATGGAATAAGATTATCTGAATAACTGAAGAAAAGTACCAATAGAATAAAAAGTACTCAAGCTTTCTCATTCTCTATGCCCGGCTCACTGATGTATTTCTTACAATAAAAGTTTAAACTAGAATTCTACGATGGTACAGACTAACAGTAATTTCTCACCTGAGGGCCACGATCCTTCGCTAGTAAACCTAGCGTAGTTCATAGTAAGTATGGTTCGTAGAAGGGGAGATTGTTGAGGCAGGTCAGGGGCAACTATAATGGAGTACTTTAATGGTGTACCTTTGGAGAAGCTACTCCGAGCTCGGTGTTTATGACGACTCAGGGGAAGAAAATTAGTAACCAAAAGTCGTCCTTTGACTTCCAGCAAGCGAGATAGTCCGTAAATACTTTGTACGTGCTGTAAGGGCCTACGATCCCTCGATCTATATATCCTTGAGACTCAGCGTTGCTACCTTGTCCGAAAAGCACTGCATTTCTTTCTTGCTTATACGTTCGGCATTAACGCTTTACTGCTAAATGCAGTGCATTCCTTTTTTTGCCCTTAACCAACTATTCGTTATTTGAGCCTGACCTTTTAGTCCTTCATTTCAAACTACCTGTCGTTGTTATTTGCTCGAAATATGAGGCTGTTTAGAGAGATTCTACCCTTAGTTATTCTAGGGTTGGGGTCCTTGATCACTGGTCTTCCCACAGAAAGGAACAGGATCGAAATCATGACAGCTATGGGAAATGTTGACGAAAGATGCTGTCCTTATTCGAAAATGCAATATCAAGTCAAGGCGGCCGTGCACAAGCGTTTACTGGTGGATTCTATGACCTCTCCAATTGATAGTATGTCTCTCCCATACAGACCGTGTATGAGCGTTGCTGAACGATTATTGAAATGAAGTCACGGGGGACCATGCCTTCCAGCCTCCAGATTTTGAGAAAGGTGACCAGCGTGGACCTTGTCCTGGTCTGAATGCCTTGGCGAACCATGGATATATCCCTCGCAGCGGTGTAGTGTCTGTAAGTGAACGGCCTGCGTCTCTAACGACCTGCAGGCGTCCAGATCTGATGATTCCTAGTTCACCAACGTAGTTGCTGCCATTAATGAAGGTGGGCTTATATCCGTTTCCAAGACACCAAATTTACCAGATTGACGACTATAGTATACGGGATGGGAATCGATCTGGCAACGATCCTCGGCGTGATGGGTACAGTCTGGACAGGGAATCCACTGTCCTTAGATCCCAGCTTTTCCATCGGGGGAAGGGATACAGGCGTCAACAATCTTCTAGGGAACCTTGATGGTCTCCTTGGTTCGTTCTTCACCGAGTAGCCCACTGGGATATACCTCTAAACTGTCGCAGGTGATCCACAAGGCCTCATTGGCTCCCACAATTTCATTGAATCCGATTCTTCCAATACGCGGGATGACCTCTATACAACCGGTAACAACCACGCTCTCAACATGAGCAAGTTCATGGAATGGTATGACATGTCCATGGACGGCACATTCAGTATGGTCCTCATGGCAAAACGAGCGAAGATTCGTATGGATCAAACTAAGCAGACGAATCCGGAATTCTACTATGGGCCAGTCACTGGGTTGATTGCGCGCAATGCCGGTTATCTATTCCCAGCAAGACTTTTTCGAAATCATTCGCAAGTGAATCCAGAGGGCGTTCTGAGTAAGATCCAAGGTTGACAGTCCACCTCGAAGACTTGAACTAACCGTTGAATAGCTAAGGAAATAGTTCGTAATTTCTTCGCCATCTACGGCCAAGAGGGCAACTTCACCTATCGGGAAGGATGGGAGAGAATCCCTGAAAACTGGTACAAGACTCCAGTAGACTATGGTCTGGTGCAACTTAACCTTGACACCCTCGACTGGCTCCTGAAGTATCCCGAGCTTGGAAGGTAAGCATCTGCTTCAGTCGACATAATTTTCGACAAGCACTAATGAGGTTAGTATTGGAGGAAACACTGGAACCGTCAACAGTTTCACAGGAATCGATTTGTCTGATGCCACAGGTGGTGTCTTCAACCTAAGTACCCTCTTGAAGGAGAACAACCTCCTCTGCTTTGCGTTTGAAGTCCTGAAATTCCTCAGCCCTAACGCTCTCGCGGGCTTGTACAAGACGCTGTCTATTCCATTGGATTTGATCAGTGATGCGATATCCACACCGCTGTTAAATTTCTCATGTCCCGCATTCGAAGACATGCAGATGGGTGGAAAGCCATTCTGGGAAGCTATTCAGAATGACTTTCCTGGGGCTGCCAAAAGTGGTGGCGCATTTTGACTGTGCTCACAATGAGGGTGACTTGTACTAGTATTAGCCTTAGTAGTAGGTGCATATATACTGGAAACAGCAATGAGTATAGGCAAAGGGAGCTCATGCACCAATTTGTGGGATTGAATATCATCTTACTGTCGTTAATTTTCAAGGTTCTCTTTGATTTGTTCCTTTATGGTTAAGTTCATCACGGGATGAGGTTCCTGGCCACCACCACCAATGAGGAGCGCCCGAAGCCTCCAGCCACCCACTTTGTTGCATAAGTATGTCTTGCTGAGAGTCAGTGTGTCCCCTGTCCACACATCAATTCCACTTCATTCCAATCTAATCTCCTTCTCTTGTCTCCCCTTACCAGTCTCCCGACTTTTCCACTCTCAAGATCTTTGTTCCTTTGAGTCCAGTCCTAGAATTTTTTTTTTTTTTTGGAAGTCCTGTTCTCGTCGTATTCCTCCAGTGGAACGAGCTCTGGATTTTCTCCGCTCAATCATCCACATAGCCTAAGCAATTCTGGACTCTAGCGGTGGGGACAAAGCCGCTGCAGCAAAGAGCCTAGAATCTGGAATTGTGCGCATCTGCAGTAACCAACTCCGCAACTAGCCACTGCCTCACCGCCGCAATTGAGCTGCTGCATACGAGGACACGCACGCACGTTCCCTAACACCATTTCCACCCATCTTGCTCTCAGGACAGGGGAAGCATTTCGCACGAGCTTAATTCCGCCCAATTTCTTGCATACACAGTAAAGCGAGCCGAAAGGTTTACCGAAAGAAAATGGGCTGGTTTGATACACATTCTTCCGCTGGCTCTTCTCACTCGGGCCGTAATCGCTCTCCATCCCGCCGGTCAACGTATTCCACCCATCACTCCCGGCACTCTGCTCCTTCAATCTTTAGTTTCAACGGAGGAGCCAGCCGCAGCCGCGCCGGCCGATCCAGTCCATCAGTCTACTCGTCCTCGTCGTCGCGACGAGCACGACCTCGGTCTGGCTTCGTCCAAAAAGTAGTCCATATCATCAAGCGACTGCTACGGGACATTTACAAGTATGCCCGTGAGCACCCAATGAAGGTGCTGGTCCTGCTTCTCATACCGCTCCTTACAAGCGGTGTTCTGCAGAAATTGTTCGCCATGATTGGCATTCGTCTGCCCAAGAACATCTTTGGCGGCCAAGGTGGACAATCCCGAGAGGGGGGCAAGAACGGCATCATGGAGAATTTGAGCTCATTTATGAACGTTGCGAAGATGATCATGTAAGAATGAAGCGCGCTATATCTCAATATAGGCTGCGTGGTCTAGCGGAGCGCTTCGCTAGGAATTGAATGGTATGATGGATGTGCGGAAAGGTCAAAACCTACGATCATGATGACAATGATGACATGCTATATTACTTGGTTTTCGGTACTTGATATTTACGTTCGTTTTTTGTGACTTACTACGTATGATATTGGAGGGTTAGTTGCAAATCTACTGGGAGTCTTCTTTTTTTCCCTTTGGTGTGTGCAGATACATCTAAAGTGGTTGTTTGAATCTAACAATATCTACTCATAGAGTGGTGCAATTGATTGCGAGGGGCTCAATGGTATGTAGTTTCATACCTAGAGTACTGGACATTTATTTATACATGTTAGGAATGATGACTCCTTGAAGACAAGCATCGAGGATCCAAATTTAAAAGATAATGAGTAGTCATACAGAAAACGGGATGCTTTCTATATCAGTCACGTCAAGACTTCTGAGAGCGTTTTCCTCGTCTTCTCGATACTCGACTTTTAGGTGCCACGGCAGAGTCATTAGCTTGCTCAACAGTCTGTTCCAGTACCTCGGACGGCTCCTCATCGACGATCTCGCCATCTACGGCGCTGGAAGGTCCGAGCAATCTGCCAGCAGTTTTATGATAAAACCAGATGGGTACCCGGAACAGCATCGTGTCGCGCACCGTAGGGCGCTGTATTTCATCAATATCAAGTAGGAATTCCTGCCGCTCACCGTCTTCCGTTTCCTCCTCCAAGAACACCTTGCCAACGGAATCAACGATCAGGACCTTGCCATTCTCCGCGATCACCCTTTTCCTCTCTCCGGATGGCTCCACGGTCTCGCCTGTCGGGGTCGCGGTACCAGAGTTTCGGGAACTTGCCCGGTTTCCTTTTTTGGTTTCCTTGCGATTCTCCTTCTCCATCATGCGTTTCTGGCGACGATTTATAGGCATTGCACTCGCTTCTGCTTCGGGTGTTGGACCTGGGGCCGCCGCGGTAGCATCGGCAGAATCCACGCCTGGGATACCACGAACCCCTAGCTCATCTCCCCAGGCAGTCCTCCTCGCCTGACGAATATACCGATCAACGAACTCGCGCTGGCGTTTCCAACCAAGGATCAATGCAGCATAATGGGCACCACCTCCAAAAGCCAAAAACAGGCCAGTCAAGACGGATCCTAGCCCCGGACGAAAGCGCGAATAGTAATAACCGGTACCCTTCCACTTGGGGAAGCCATTTTTCAAGAAGTAGTCATAACGCTCCCGGCCCGGCCCACGAAGGATATTCGCAACGGTATTCAAGCGGGAAGCACGGTCATGAGCCTTCTTCACAGCAGCGTCAATCTCACGCTTACTCGGGCCCTGGTTGACGTGGACGCCCGGCTTCTTGTTTTTGGCTCGGGATTTATCCTTGGAAGCATTGGCGATGAAGGATCGCTTGACTTTGTCCGGGTGTAAGAGGCGAGATTTCTTACGATATGCTTTGTTGATGTCGTCCTGGTTCGCATTGGGTTGGACACCGAGGAAATCTGTCGACATTGGAATTGTCAGAACACGGTACATTGAGGGAAAGGGGGAACACAAGATAGCACACCGTAAAATGTTATGTTTGTACCCTCTGTCGCGGCAACTTCATCGCGGAGGGAGAAGATTTCATAGTCTGGAAATGAATTGCGGTTAGGGGTATACTGGTTATACAGGGGAAGTAGGGGAGCTGACCTTCCTTAGTCCAGGCCGTCGCAAGCACAAACAGGACAGCGAACACGACCAAGCGGAGTGCTGTGGACTTCATATTTTAGCGATGAGGGGAGCGGTCAAGCCGCTGAACCCGAAGTCAATTGGAAGGAGAGGAGCGCCGGGGAATGACTCAGGGAGGCCAACACACACACTATGAGTTGTGGAGGATTATTATTTCCTGGCGAACATTTCCTATTCGACTACGTTACCCTCTCGTCCTCAGGCCAATAACCTAAGTTATGATCTGTCATCAGGCACAAAGGCGGTCAGGTAACATATACGGTAAAGATACGGAAAAATGAAACATAGATCCATGGCTACCCAATGTGACAAACCCGGATTGGAGGACGGTCCACCTTCCGCAGGGCATCGACGTGGACCAATGACGGTTACATGAGATTGTTGACAAGTAAGGCGAGAGTTGAAGAGGAGAAAGGCATCTCGATAGTCCGAGCGGAAAATTCATTCGCTATTAGGAATTCTGAGGAGGAGGAGGGGGAGTGCTGGGTTTACAATAAATGCAGCGTTGTCCCTGTCCAAGCTCCATTCTTGTTCTTTTTCCCTTCTCTGGCTGTACTGTACCAGTACCGAGTACCAGTACCTAAGTACTAGTATATCACCACCTCCAGCAGTGAGGATTGGAAGATGATGGAGTAAGAGAGACCGCCGAATCGAGGTGACAAGATGGCCATCGCTCTTACTGCAACGTGACAATCAGCCCTCCATCTCTCTGGGTCGCTGTTGGGACTGGTCGTCTTCGTCTTTGTCTCCAATCCCAATCCGGTCTCAGCCAAATCCACTTCTATTCTTAGCGGTGAAAGCCCATGAATCCGGGGAACCACATTGACGTTACTATTTGTCTCTCTCTTTATGAGTCAGATGTGGACAAGATCTTTCTTCCTGTCTTTCATGGTTGTCCTCTTTTCTCTTACAATCGACTTCCTCTCCGAGGGAGACCGACCATCTGTCCCTTAATCACTAACAGGTGATTGACCTTCCGGTTGTGGCTGCCTTGCAAGGCGGCTGGATCGTCTGTGCTTATGTGGCTCGGTCCATTTAAAGCCCAGACAAAAATACGTGCCGACCGAAAGGGTTAAACGTCTTTTGCCTTCAGTGTTTTTTCGGGCCAACTAAACCATTACCCATTACCTATCTACCTACCTACCTATACTTGCCCCTTTTTCTCCCTCGGAATACCCTTCTTCGGCCTGCCTTGATCACTTTCCGGCTCTCCTTCGCGCACACAGGTCGTACATCCCTTTCGCACGAACTCAAAAAAAAAGTACCGATCCCTTATTCAATCTCCATCCTTTCCGTGATTATCCAAACCCCTTCGCAATTATCACAATGAGCCCAATTCAGATTCCCGTCGATGTGATTACTTCACGTTTCGGTGAGCGCTTTAACAGCCTCCGATCCCAATCTCTGGGCTCTCGTTTCGCCAACCTCCGGCCCATTTCCGAGTTCTTTGACGTCAAACGGGTCTCCAAGCCGGCCAACTTCGGCGAGGTTCAGAGTCGTGTGAACTACAACCTCTCTTACTTTTCTAGCAACTATGCCGCGGTCTTCGTGATGCTCAGCATCTACAGCTTGCTGACCAACTTTATGTTGCTTTTCGTGATTATCTTGGTGACTGGTGGCTTGTACGGGATTGGAAAGCTTCAGGGCCGCGACCTAGATCTGGGATTTGCTCGATTCAACACTTCCCAGCTTTACACCGGATTGCTGATCGTGGCGGTCCCCCTCGGCTTCTTGGCTTCTCCCATCAGCACCGTTCTGTGGCTAATTGGGGCTACCGGCGTGTGTGTCTTTGGCCACGCCGCTTTTATGGATAAACCGATCGAGAATGCTTTTTCAGAGGAGGCGGTCTAGGTGGTCGGCCGCGAACTCCTTACGGTATGCCCCGATGGGGAAGACCACCAGGGGCACAACGGGGGAGACAAACCGGGAGGTGGGCGGATCCGTGGGTGGATGGTGACGAACGGATTGAGGAGATTAACAGTGAGGACGAGTACCTTCTGCGGGATAACCGGAGTTTGTACATGAAACAATTGACTGGTATGGACATGGATGAAATCTTACGATGGCGGAAACGGATGCTGGAATATGACGAGTTTTCTGACGAGACCGGGTTTGTTGATGGTATGGACTATAGCTTGCATGAAGACGGGGATAGTACGGTCGCTTATGCGGTTCAGCTGGCTTTGAAAGATAAAGAGGAATGGCATGTGGAGCATGCCCTGGAACGGATCCGGCGCGCGCAGATGTTGGGACAGAAAAATGTACGATTATCGAAACGAGAACTTGAGGCACTGGAACGCAAGCGAATGCAGACCAGTAGCAAGAGAGATCATGAACGCCGGAAACCCACCACTATGGGTTCTAGGTCGAGGGATAGCTCCACATCAAGCGGGCAGCGACGCGAATCCAGTATATCGCAGGGCGGACAGACCGCACCATATCGACTCTCCGGCAGCAGTTGGACCCGCAGCTCCGGCGCTCCGTCTCGACAATCTCAACCGTCTACTCCATCTCCCAAGTCCTCACTCCGATATTCTGAGCGGTATTCCACTACATCCCCGCAAGCGTCCCCAAGAGGTACAGCCTCCGCGTATCCTCTCCCAGATGACCCCAGCTGGGCGCCTCCGTATCAACTTCCTTCTCCAAGACATCGACATTCGCACTCAATGCGAGGTTCAGTGGACCCTCTGCAGGGAGCCTCACGGCGACCATCGTCCTACATGTCAACATACCAAGCCGTCGCTAGTCCCAGCAGTGTGCGGAGCTTATTCACCCCTCGGAAGACTCCATTGCGATCTACGGTGGAGAGGACACACGATGACGATGAGGAAAGCGATGCAGGTGATGGTCGAGTGCGTATCGTGGACGTAGTTGAGCGCAAAGTGTCGACGGGTCGTACAGCAACCGGCAAGGGAAGCCGTCAACGCCGCCGCCGTTCTTAGATTCTGAAGTATCCAGTGTTGTGCTTGATGTCTAGTGGGAATAGTCTCTTTGGTTTGTCTTGGGTTACTGCTTGGGTGGAATTTGGAACCATTGTGGCTTTGCAGCAACAGACGTAATGGAGTTCAGCATTGATGAGTAATATAGAGTCTTTTTTTTTTTTTGTCTTCTGATAACATGATGGCTTGTCTAAAAGTTGTGAGCGAAGTGGACGAAGAGCAATGGCATCACAGGAATAATTACTAGTACGGCAGGCGGTGGCGTGCCCACATTGTCTTAAATTTCGAGATCCATGGTCGAGCGCATTTACATTCCTGACTCAGGAGTTTCGGGTAACCGTATAACACTGACTATTTTGGAAGGGGTATGGGTCCTGGGGGATACAAAGCTTTTTTATTTGTGGTCTTTTCGCAGTCATGGAGTTAATTTCTCACGATGGTCTTCGGATTTAAAAGTTCTCCGGTGATGACGTCGCCGGCCGGTGAAGTCATCAGAAATTTCTTCGTAGGGAGACTAAGTATACTTAAGTCGCGCGCGCTCTCTCTCGCGCAGTGGCCACATGGAGACACACTCTTGTTGCATGATAAGCATTGGTGATTGTTCGTTCATTTCCCTCCCAGCCTCGCAGCCCCTGGATATATAAATAAAATTCAGTAGAGTATCCATTGCGTCTATCCTTTTTGGTTTTCCTCATATCCAAATCGACTCATTCCTCCACGACTCCCTATCCATTTTTCTCGATTTTTTCTTTCTTTTTTCTTCTTCATTCTTTTCCTGACAACGGCTCCACGCCCTTACTGCTACCCGTGTAGCTGTACTCCGTATATCTCTGTACCTACTTAGAAGCGCGTGAGGTGGACACATTTTACCACCTGTAAAACTTTGGGGCCTTGATCAACGCCGAGAGCTGCACGCTAGGCATCATTGTGTAAGTTCCGTCTAAGCCACTTCCGCAGTTCCCGGCGCTTACGATTTACTGCCACTTCCATGGACTATCTTGTCACCCTGCTAGATTGCTAATTTTTTTTCTTTTATTCTTTTTTTTTTTTTTTTCGGTCACCACTTGCTCTTTTTTTTTTTTTTTTTTTTTTTTTTTTTTTTTTTTTTTTTTTTTATTTTTTTTTTTTTTTTTTTTTTTTTTTTTTTTGTAAAGAATATATGGACTGACATATACGCTCTCCGACAGTCATTGTATCGCGTTCTGTACATGATAAGCGCTCTTCTTGGGTTCGACCAAATACACAGATAGAACGAATTAGAGGGTCAGGAGCGAGCGGGCCATCATAATGTGGATCATTTCATTCTGGATCTTTCCGGTCATATCGGCCTCCATGTGGATAGGTATGGCTCTGTCGTTGGTTGAATGCGTGACGAAATAGTAACGATTACTAGCAATGCTACTTGCAATGCTGGGGAATTGGGCGGTACAGGGCTCGCCGGTATATTCTAGTATGGAAGAGGGACAGACAATTGCGTATGGATGCTGTCTACAATCTAGGTACGACCGGATACTAACCGCGGTTGAATAGGTACATCTCCGATATTGGCGCACAGGGCCTCAAACCTTTGTTCATCACCGGAAGTGTAATAACGGTAGTCTTCCTGGATCTCTCATTCATCGCCGAACGGTGGCTGCGACACGCCGGCCAGTTGGTGCCGAACAAAGGCAGGTTGGACAAGGCTTGTGCCGTTCTTTCTATATTCTTCTCGATTGCGGGCGCCTTGGGGCTCATTCTCTTGTCGATTTTCGATACGCTGCGCCACCCGCACATGCACGACGGGTTCCTGGTCATGTTCCTGTAAGTCTAACACACCGACAAGACAATCAGACAAACCGAATGCTGACCGTTATAGGGTTGGTTACATCATAAGCGCGATTCTGATTTGCGCCGAGTACCTCCGCCTGGGCATTTTCTACCGCTCTCAGCATCGGGTCCTATTCGCCAGCTTTGTAATAAAACTCATGTTCATTGTCATTGAGATCGCCCTCGCCATTGCCTTTGCCGTCTGCGGCAAGAAAGGTGCTAGCAAGAGAAACGCGGCGGCTGTTTTGGAATGGGGTATGTGATACTTGAACCTTGGTGATATGAACACGGAGCTTAGCCAGCTAACCACGGCTCACAGTGATCGCCCTCATCTTTACATTCTATGTTCTTTCATTTGTTGTTGACCTGTTACCATCTGTGCGCACTCGCCGCCACGTTCCACAGGGCGAGAAGCGGATCGTGAGGTCTGAGATGGAGAATGGCATGGGTCAGCCTAACGCCACGATTGAGGAGCCATTAACGACTGACTCGGCCGGGCCTAATATGGATCATAGCTACTACCGTGGGCAGCGCATGTGATCGGCTTGTTTTGATATTCTTCCTTTTGAGAGTTGGTTTGCATTTACGGTGCATTAGGGTTATGTATGTGCTATATACCTCGGTGGGGCTGATTTGAGTTGATGTATACGATTCCTTGTTTGGTTTTCTGTCTTCTTTTGGTCGGTATCTTTGTATTTCAACCGGTCTTGTATATACCTCTAATGTTTGGGAGCCTACTGGTTATATGAATAAAACACCCCCACATGATCAAAGAACCATATCGTCTATATCATTAACATTATCTATCTTTCAACGTCAAGGTTTATCACGTAAAGCAACAACAGTATCAACCAACGCCGAACACCAGCAAGCTAGGAAATATACAGGGAGGTCAAGCAATCAGGGCCTCTCGAATGACATCCAACTTCTTCTTCTCAACCCCGACGAACCTCAGATACCCCTCAACACCGCCGTATTTCTCGTCTAGATGCCTCCTAATCTCCACTGTAAACCAATCCGGACACTTGATATAGTCCTCCGACAAACCCAACTTCCGAATCTCCTTCATCCGCTCCTCCGCCTCAACCACCAACTCCGGCTCCGACTGCACATAATCCGCCGTCATAGCCTCGTCACTCACAACACCCGTCAAAAGCAGCAACATCAGAACCACGAGCCCCGTACGGTCTTTTCCCTGGGTACAATGCACCAGAACCGGATACGTCCGGTCCGCGCCGTCATTCGGCGACGCGAAGAGTTCAAAGATCTCTCTCATCTCGGCCGTGCTGCTATCGAGCATATCCAGACCCAATCCGATCAGACCCCTAGGCGACATGACCTGTTGCCCGATAATAATCACTGCATCCATACGGTACCCGGACGCCGCGAGAGCAAGGACCTTGCTGTTGACTTCATTAGTTTCCCCGTTGCTTATTCCGGTCGTTTTATCCATCATCCACCCCATACACCTAGAGAGAGAGGGGGGGAGGGAAACCAAGAAAGGAAGATATTCATACAAGAAATTCCACCAGTCCAAGCGCCATAGCAATGATCGCTCGAAGGCTTTCCCAGCCAGACTAATCAGTTGCCGGCGGACATGGGGCAATTGGAATAGATGGTCTGTGTTGATATTGGGGGGAGCAGACGTTCCCGATTCGGCATGGAGTTTGGCGGTTGCCATTTGGTGTTCGGATCTGGGGATCATTAGCGTTCATTTTCATGACCTGTCCTTTTGAAAATAATAATATGATGTAGGATAACTGGTAGGTAACTATGATACATTGGGTTCGGGGAGGAGAAGAAGAAGAAGAAAGAAAGAAACAAGGCAAAGAAAAAGGAACATACGTAGACCTCAAATCAATAAGAGTAGCTATATGAAGTTCATCCGTTAAACGCCGTTTATCTCTTTCCGAGGCATCATCTAGCTGGAATTGTTTACACGCATCAATAACAAGGTCTTGGTTTTATATACGAGAAAACTGAAAAGTCGTTGGATTGATTTACCCTTGCGCTGCGAAATAGAACACCTTCGTTCAAGACCCTGTAGTACAATTCGCATGGTAATTAGTTCAGTCCCATCAATGGTGGAAGTCGTCGTCCATCCTTCCTGCAGAGGCTCGGTCAAACTGTGATGGCATACTTTTTCCCCATGAGTCGGTTGATGGAGCGACCAACATCGCGGAAGTTGATGATGTTATCGAATGGGCGATCGGGGGAGTCCAGATCGATGCTGGAGGAGCGCGGATGAGAGGCCATCATGGGTCTAATGCGGGAAGAATTTGATATCCAGGTGGATTCTTCATATACGACTGAAACGGAATGAAACGAGGTGGCGCAAAGACTGAGATCAGACACGATAGTAATACATAGTATGTAGTGATTCTTTGAAAATAAAAGATTGTCTATGTCAGATTGAGATACAGCGCGTAGACCTTCAGTTAAATGCAAGGCAACGTGGATCCCATTCATTTGGTCTCCAGCGTGGAGCCGCGCACCAAATGGCGGTGGAGGGAAAAGAAAAAAAAAAAAAAGGAAAAAAAGAAAGAAAGGAACCCCCGTGGACATTTACCCCCAAACGGGCTTTCTTTGATTTCCGTTGGATCGTTTTCTCTTGTTTGTTTGTTTCTTTGATTGTTGGTCATAGAAATAAGAACAAGCTATGTAACTTTCATTGAATGTACTCGATTTGGTGGCATCAATCACGCATACTCCGCTCGGTTCTTCCATCCCGGCTGGAGATAACTCCAGTCCCGGCTGAAATCGAATCCACTGCGATATTTTGCATATGCCTTTAGCTCCACCTGCTCCAGTCTCGCCCCCGCGGCTGTCAATGCCCACATGCTAATCGCTAGTGAATTCTGTCCCCGGTTGTTGATCACCCCCGGCGGGAATGGGAACAAGTCCTGCGGTCCAATATGCGGGAGATAATGGCCAAACTGGTATCCATTCATGAATATCTGCACAACCGCCGTAGTGCCAGCCGGTGCGCTTAACTGAAGTCCAATGGGGACGTCTAAGTCCGCATTCAAATCCAGTTTGAAGCTTGTCGTGTAAAATCTCCCCTCCGCGCCGAGCACTCCTTCCAGGGGACTGCTGTCCAAGGCCGACTCGGGGGCTTGGTATCCTGGCAGATGCCAGCCCATCCGCTCTCCATAAAGACCGCCTTCGTTCATCGGGCCACGCACAGGGTCAATGTTCTTTTCTCCCCCTGCATTGCCTTGAATGCGCCACAACGTAAAGTTACCTCCTCCGATCAAGGTGGCGCCCATGATCCCCCGTGGATTCTGGGTGCCTATGGGCTTCTGACTGTTCTGATCGTGGCCGGTGTAGTCCATGATAATAGTAAGCACATTGTTGCGAGGTCTGAGAGAGGAAATGTTGAACTGAAGCACCTCCCAGCTTGTGACTTTGTCGGGGTCTCCTGAAAATCCTCCCACGTAAGCACCATTCAACCACGCCGCCCATCCAGCTGCTGCGCCATTCTGCACCGTAACATTGGCCCCAGTAACATTTTGTCCGTCGAATCGTCCACGGTAAATCTTAGTCCCTGCGTGATATCCGTAGTCACCGGAGTAAAGTACTGGAAGAGAGAGAGGAGCGATCGAATTGACCGACGTAGTCTTATTGCAGATCGTCCACCTGGAATCGTCATAATCTGGACTAATCTCAGGAAGTGTATCCTGCGCCTTCCACGAACTAAGCGAAGGAAGGGAGACCTCTATATCTTCCGCTCCAGGGACAGTACCGATAAGACTGCCGTATGTAGTTACTCTGGTATCAATGAGATTACCGTTCCATCTCACCTTCTTAACATGCTCATCGCCCGTGTATACTCTAGATAAAAATTAGTGAGGATACGCACAAAGGACCGGACATCGGAACATACTCTATTGAACTTGAGTTGGAGTTGTCACCAATGACCTCCACAGTGTCATGCTTTATAGTAGCCCCCCGGACCAGGTACGGACCAAAAACTAGGATATGCTCACTGGGAGCAACCGTTGGGCTTGAGATGGTAGGGGGTGCAAAAAAGTTCCATGCGGTTTTCTTGTCGAGCAAGTAGACCAGCACTCCATTTGAAAACTTCACCGCTGTAATTCCTTCTCCTTGGACGTATGAATATTGTGTGCCTTGGCTAGTCTCTGACGAACTCAAGTTTGAATTACCGTATGTTTGGTATGTGAGATCAGCCGGTGCGTCCTTGAACACAAAAACCCCCTTTTGGCCCGCATTCAAGTAGAATACAAGTACGTCCACATCGAGCGTTGCGTATGTCAAGATCTCAGCAGACGAATATAGTAGAGAGGATTCACTGCCAATCCTGTAGTCTGTGACAATTATCTTGCTTTGACGGCCGTCAAGTTCGATCTCTGGGATGGTAATGGTTCCTACTCAGGTCAGAGCAAGTTCCAAAGAGGCCTTCGCATAAGGTACATACCTGCAGATGTTTTTACATTCAACGAGAAAGTTGCGACCTCTCGTGATGAGCTGGTTTCATGAGCCACAACATAAAATGCAGCATCTGTCTCAGGGTTTCGAAGAGCCCAGGTGTAAATGCTATCATCGCTAGTGTAACCGGTACCGTTCCCTTCCATGTACGTTTTCAGCAGGTCCTTCGACACTCGGGTAAACAGCCCAAGCAGTTTGGTCTGTTTTAATTTATCACGAATCTCTCGGGTCTCTCGAAGAGGGGAGCCGTAGTCGTAAGATGTGTAAACTACAGGCGCTGCACTATGGCCCCAGTTGGTGCCCCCAAACGTCATGTAAATGTTCTGAAGCGTCACGCGCGAGCCGATATTGTTCTTATAGTAGACGTCTGCAAACTCTGGGGAGAGCTCCGACGCACAAGTGTCATAAAACGAACCCCCCCAAGGTTGAAACCAGCCTCCTTCGAACTCGGGCAGATATTCGGGCTGTGTGTAAGAGTAATTCTGGAACCACTGGTAGTATGTACGGACCAAGTTGAATCCAGAGTTTGGATTGGTGCATGAAAGGCCTCCAGGGTACGAGTCAAGCCCATATACGTTCACAGCTCCTCCGACGTCCTTATAGTCAGTGGACCAGCTCACTGTGCGCATTCCTTTTTCATTGTGGCTGCTTGGGACGACAATCCCGGCCTCCTCGAATGCTTTCGCTATCTGCTCCATGTAGATGACTTTAGTATCATTGGAATCATATGTTGTTTCCTGGAGTTCGTTCTCATGTTGGTTCAGAATAACAGGGCCGCCCTTGGTGATTTGATTTGCTGCAATGATCTTGCCAACCTCCCGAATCCACGGTCTCCATCTTTTGTAGTAGGCTTCATCACTCGTTCGTTCACTGCCCATCTGTCCATTTGCTGCCCATAGAGCAAATCCACCCGCAGAAGTCTCTGCATTACAGTATGGGCCTGCTCTGGCGATCACATACAGGCCCGCTTGTTTAGCATAATCAAATAAGCGCTGGATATCATGGGCACCCGTCGTGAAGTCGAACTCGTCCTCCGAAGCGCTATGATAACTCCAGAAAAAATAAACTGCGCCATGTTATGTTAGCACGTCGTATTTCTATAGTTCTGGCAGGCAGTCATACCCGAGATGGTGTTAAATCCATTCGCACGCAATTTCTGAAAAACATCTAGCCACAGCTCGGGAACGGGGAGTCTCTGGTAGTGAAATTCACCGGAGAAAACAAAGAGTCGCTCGCCTTTGACGGACAGACTGTATTTGTCCCACGTCACATCGGTGGTCTTCCCATTGTCGAGGCCTGATACCTTCCCGGTCAGGAGAAGCAGCCAAACCAGATAAAAAAATCCGAATAACCGCATATCCTTCGCCGGCTACAATAGAGACTGCCCTTAAGTCTTCCATCATCATTGAGTCATGCAAGCGAGAAGCGTCCATAATATGGGGTGCTCCCCTCCCTCGAAAGTGCCCTTCGGCCCTCGCGATATTGATGTCCCGGCTCGGGACAGGGATTGGTGGAAGATCAATCTGGTTGAGATAACCCCCTTTTCTCCGTAATCGAGGCACTGGAAATAGTGTCAGAGAGGGGGTTACTTGCCTAATCTGGTGATAATCCCTGGGGGAAAGACATGCCTAGTGGATACGGCAGGGTAGCATAGGATACACCCAGCCTGAAGTTGCATCATTAATAAGAGTAATTAATAAGAGTAAAATTAGTCGTACATATATAACATGGAGGCATTGTTAAATACTTGTGCTTTTCACATACTAGGTTGTAGACCATGAAAGAAAGAAAAAAAAAAAAAAAAAAAAAAAAAAAAAAAACCAAAGTAAAATCGTGGGGAAAACTGACAGCATTAGCAGTCCAGGTATGTCCCTTCATATGTACTGGAAATCCTGTAGAACGCCTTACCAGACCACCTTCCTATAATGTTCCCGACTCCAAAAAGCACATAATCCACACCGCAGAATAAGGATATAACGATCAAATAGAGTTCCAGAACCGCGGCAAAAGATGTACAGAGACAATGAAAGCAATACAATTACATCATCAAAGGTCTTCAGAGAACCGTGATTCACGACCAGTAGTACCGTTGCTTGTTCGCTTTCCGATTGCAGGCGGAACAGGCAATCCTTGATCGGCGGCACTCTCACGTAGTTCGTCTCGCTCAGTAACGTGCGAAGGTAATTCATCTGCGGCAGTATGCTCGACAGGTACAGATCCTTCATCGGCTTCCTTATTATGATCTGTAACTTCATCCGTCTTATCTTGCGAGTTCCTCGAGACCATCTGCGAAAGTCTGGACTTCAGGCGAGATCGCTTATCACCATTCTGCTCCGGACTCTCCTTGGGCCCTGGCTCAACTGCCTGTCCTTCAGGTTTCATAGCCTCCAGCGTACCAGCATCCACTGACTTTCTCTGCATTTCCTGCAAATCATCTGCTGTAACAGGATTGGACCTAAGAGGCGCACCACGTTCGTTATCACCACCCGCCTCGGCTAAATCAGTTGCATCAGCGGTTTCAGCTGTCTCAACTGATTCATTCGGTCCCTCTGCTGGCTGAGCAGTTTCCTCCACCGCGTTTGAGGGTGTCTCGTGATCGCCCTCCGCTATTTTTGGAGCTTCGCCTGTGCCTGCACTGGGGCGACGACCGCCCAACTTATTGAACCACGTTTTGAGTTTCGACTCTGTTCTCGTGATGGGCTCTGTAGATCCTGTATCTACCACGGCACCTGATGCAGTAGCTTCATTTCCGGCTCGTGTGGTCTGTGGCTGCTCTGTTTCCTGTGGAGCACTCTTTGCATGCTCCTCAGCCGCACCCTCGAGTCCTTCGGTAGCCCTGGTTGCGGTATGTTTTCCTACAATGGGCTCATGGTCTTGGCCCCTCCTAGACTTTCGCCACAACCATGTCTTTTCCCCTCTGCCTTTCAACTCTTGCTTCATAGCAGCTATTCAATGTTAGCAATGTGGTGTATCGAGGACAAGAAACTGGAAATACTGACCCTTCTGTCGCTTCTCCTCGGCTACAAGGTCAGCCTCTCGTTGACGAGCTACAGCTTCGTGACGCTGTCTTTCCTCTTCATCCAAGCGTCGCTCTAAATCCTTAGCCCTTTCCGTCTCTGCGCGATCAGTAATTTCATCAAACGTTGGCTGGAGCCTTGAACGAGCAAGAGCCTCCACATCAGACATATCAATGAATTTCTGAGCACCAAGGTTGACTTTCTCGCCTGAGGTATATTGCAAGTCAGTCTCTTGCATATCCTTCCGCGCGCGGGCTAGTGCCGTCTCCTCCCATTCTTTCTGGAGTGCAGCAGGGGCACGCCCAGTCTCAGCATAGACACGCATTTCCATATCTTGCAAAACTGCATCAACATTCTTCTTGGCGGCTTCCATTAGAAGAGCGCGATCTTTGTCTCTCTGCTCATCCACCGCATCAAGCTTTGTTCGGAGACTGGTCATCTGATGCCTGATCTCTCTGGACCGCTCTACATCGAATTCAGATGCATCCGAGTCTATAGACAATCTCCTTCTGCGGGTAGGCACGCTGGACCGTGTATCTTGCTGCTCAAGTCGGTAATATTCCCGGTATACTGCGGTGTCATCCTGCATGCTGGCCAATTTCTCTGCTGCAAGCTTCTGAGCGGTCATCTGAAGATTCACTGCCCGTTGGATGGCCCCTGGTTCTGGTCGACTTGCAGATCGTTTGGGACGCACACGGCCATAGTTTGCTTGAGTACTAGGAATGGATGGATAGAGTTGCTCTGGTTCGGTAGCTTCTGTTAGGCTGTACATGTCCCGCGCCATTGACACGGCAGCTGCTTGCAGCACACTTTTCCTTCTTTGCTCTTCTACCTCTGGCGCCAAAGGTGGGGTTGCAGTGAATAGTCGACGGTTGACATGTGCAAGGTGTTGAATTCGGCTAGCCTCCAATGCGACGTCCATGTCGCTGATTTGACCCGCCGAAGTTGTATAGGGCGCTTCAGAAGGTGCAGATTCAGCTCTCCTCCTATTGCTATACAGAGCTCCCCTAGCAGCGCAGACGGCTTTTTCTCTTTCGGCGATTTCGCGACGCGCATCTGGTTTTAAATGGGCTGCGGAGGTCTCCGTGCTCGCGGGTAAACTCGATATTGAACTACGATCCCTATGCGCGGAGACTGCAGCTCTATACCCGCCATGGCTCGAAATATCGGAATGATCTTGGGCATGGTTCGCTGCAGCCTGTTTCTCAGCTTCGAGCTGTCTATTCTTCGCTTGTGCCAGAGCAGCTACTGCCGACGCATGGCTAAAGCCCGGACGTGATCCTGGCACTTTCAAGTCTACAAACCGTCAACCTCATATTACCTTACACGCTTGGAGAATGCAGAAGGCTATCGGTTATACTCACTGGATAGATCGGTCTCGAACGCCGATGGCTCGCGAGCCGATAGTCTTCGCTCGGGATGAGTAACGTAAAGAGCCGCCGAGGCGGCTATCCGCAGGCCTGTCAGCACAAAAGGTCCTATTCGGAAGAAGCAGAGTAAAACGCTGCCTAAAGGTCTCTCACCTTGGTCCGCTAACCGGGTTGACCGGGAGCACGGAACGCTCTGAACTGGGGGCTGCTCAATGGTTGCCATGATAAGATAATGTCCGCAGCGCGTTGCAGGAAGCAAGGGATTGCAACGAAGACAGGCATTCCCGAGGAAGATAGAAAACGAGGAGAGCAGGACAGCAGGGAGGAGAAAAGGACGAGCGATTGGGCGGAAATGACGGGATAGACTCCAGGAAGGAGGCTCCGGAAGTTTGACGAGAGTATAATATTGCCAGTGACGTAGTTGGTTGCAGAGATCGATCCACGGATGCTACGATCACCCGTTAGTTTTGGAGTGGCTTGGCGACGTAAGGCTGAGGAGATGTTTCTCACGTTGCTATAGTCATGACGTCGATCGAATATGAATGTGAGGATGAAAGAAGGCAGAACGTTACATCCTACCGACTGGTGATTCTTCCATCCCAAATTTTTGAGAGACACATTCTTTCGGCTCTTTTCCGTTTCCGTCCATCTGTGGTTTTCTGCTGGTCAGATCCAAATGCCCCCATCACATGACCCGGTCAGCAAGTTTGCAGTTACGCATTTTTGTTGTCCTTACGAACTGGTGGCTGAGGCTACACATCTCACTGGACTTTGTCAGGTAGATCCCTTGGGCCTAGACCCTCCACCGATGTAATACCGAAAGTACATTGATCTATGGAGTAAATTATATGTTCTATTAAAAAACACTAGAAAATTAGAAAACAATCATTTCCTGTCTCCCAGACAAAAGACACGAAAAGAATGGTTGGTTATCATTTATGGGGAAACGATTGAACCGACTAGAATTAAACGATGCACATCTAGACAACTACTAGCAGTACCTCTATACAACAGTACCGGCATTCAGCACAAAATATCACCATAGATGCAAAATCTTAAGGAGATCATGACGTGCAAAAAAAGAGCGGTTCCTCTTGCCAAGGATATCTAGTAAATCGGTGTTAGCTTACAATCCTTACATCTGTATAATCAATAAAACCTACACATGGGGATGCTCAAGGCACAAATTCCCATTTGTATACTAGATATAGCCAGGAATGCCGGTTTGATACCATTTGAGAGTAACCAATCATAAGCGAAGAATGTTAGTATAAAACTAAAAATGTTTTTGAATATTAGCATGCATGTGAACGATTCTATCGCAATTTGACCTGTAGTTATGTGTCAGCGGGGGCGCTTAGAAATAACCACAGTAGCAGATGGAAAACACTCACGGTGGGCATCAACGATATACAGCGCACTGGCAACAGCACCCATGACCATCCCTATAATTACCAATGCGAAGAATACATCAACCACAAGCCAACCATATTTTCCCACATCTTGGGCCACTATGCCGAAGCCGTAAAGCCCAGCACCGCTGAAGACTAATTGAAAGATAACGAGGAGAATGCGGAACTCAGGCTCATATCTTCCTCTGTTAAGCTTGATCATGATCTTATTCATGGAGTCAGAGAGTATGCCCGAAAGGATTAAACCCACAATAGAGCCGATAAAAGCGCCGGTATACAGATATCCCGTTTGGACTTCATTGAACCACAAGGGAGGCCCTAAAAAGATGGCTGCTAGTACCACGCCAATGAATACAGTCCAGCCGATGATTACACCTTGGATTAAGCAAGCCTATGGTTGTTAGGGCCTAATCTCAGGATATTGTTCCAGCAGGTGCTTACCCAAAGAATTGCCGGGTGAAAGAACAGCGGAAATGGTCTAAGCAGAAGCTTCAAGAAATTCTCGTCCGTCTTGCGCCCATTGAACGGCTTCAGAGTTTGGATATATAAGGCTTTCGCAGGGACGATCGTGTTTAAATGCGTGTCTCGCTCTTGTGATCTAGCCTGCGATTCACTATTAGTGAGCGGCGAAGGATGCTTTTTCTCATCGGATATGTGGCTGGCTTCATGATATTCATTGGATTGTTGTTGTGAGCACATCCTATTTTCGATTTTTTGATGTACCATCTGTTTCAAGTCATTGTTTAGATATTCTGGGCGCCTAAAAGCTGTCTCGGGGACCAAGAAGAAAGTCAAAGGCAGCGATGCGGCCGAAAAGATTGCCAGAAGGTAAAATGTCCACTCCCACCCAAGAGAATGAGTAATTTTACCAGCCAGAACCGGTGTAAGAAAGGCGGCTCCAAAAAGAGCAACATTCGACAGAGCCATCCTTTTGCCACGCTCCTACGATGCTTGTTAGAAACAGACATTGAATCATCGAGGTTCTTCCATACTTACGTGAACATAGTATAGATCGCCGACACAAGCATTGACCAAAGCTTCGAAAGGTGCTAGAGCAACTCCTTGGAAGATGCGAGCCCATACCAAGCTTGTATAATTGTTGGAACTTCCACCTGCCCAGCCACAGCTTATCACCATTAAAACATTCCCGAGAAGAAAAAGATGACGTTTTCCCCATACTCGCGCTGTCGGCACGATCAATATCCCAGCAACTCCCACACCACAAAGGTGATATCCAGTGAGAAGGGCGACGGAAGTGAAACTCTTTTTAAAGTGTAGGGATATTGTCACGGTATTGGCAGCCATAAGAGAACTCGTTGTTGCACAAAGAACTGCGACGAAGGAAAGGACTAGTAGTGTAACATCACGCTTCCATAATGGCCAGTTCTGTTCGGCATCTGTTGTCAGTCACCGTATATTCAAAAGCAATCTGTTATGAGGGGTTCGACATACCAGGGGATCATTGGGATCATCACTTGGTTGCGGAACCAGGAGGATAGGAATCGCACTCGAGCGGTCGTATTTCAGGTTAGAATCAACATTGGTCTGCTCGTTGGAGCTTTCTCTTTCGAGGATATCAGAAGTGCCTAGATTAATCCAAAGCCACTAAGCATCTACAGTATATATTGAAGGTCGATTGACACATACCAGGAACCTGGGCAAGCGCCGTGTCTTCTAACACACCTAACCCCATCCTGACCGTGGGAGTAAACAAGCCTAAGAGTGCTTGGGACAATAAAAATCAGGGCAAGTTAATTTATTCTGGGGAATTTGGCAGGAACGAAGCAGGGTGACGAGCCAAATAAAAAATGAACCGAGCTCTACATCAAGTCCAGTTGGTGAGCGCAGCATGTGTTTTGCCGGCTAGTTCATGAAACATTGGAAGAGGGGGGCACGTCAAAACCTGTCAGCATAGAGAATCTGTTTGAAACCTTACCTACTACGAGTTAAGCATAAATTTCTTTTGAGTCTAAGGTCTTTCCAATACGCTGGAGATTGGGGGGGGGGAAGGGGGCATGAAGCAACCCAAAATAGATAAATGAAAGATTTCAGAAGATAAAAGGATAAACACAGCGTCAACCTGCAAGGGCCAGTGATTAAATCTGGTCAGAACCCTGTAGCCCAGTGTTACGTTTCGGTCATAGTCAAGACGATCAGTGTGCGGAGAAGCAGTCGATCACCGAATATAACTTACTGTAGAGGTCTCTGTTATGTATATCTTAGTACTAGGACCTATCCCTTTCGTTGACTTACTAGTGGTTTTTGGGTCGACAATCTATAGCTTTCGCAGTTCAGTACCCATGGAAGTTATGGTGTTCGATCGAAAGAAAAAGCTATGGAATATGCCCTTGTAGGACTGGGTGGTTGTCCCACGTTGGGACTCCTGAAAGATCTACACCCAATGTTCCACTTCCAGACCGTGTTTTTATGTATAACCTAGGTAAACATCTCAATACAGGTAAGTACTCAGAAACAAACCCATGCCGAATGAGGCGTGAGGGGGTGGTACTGGTAGTATGACCGAGGGATTTCTACGGCATCTGATTCAATGACCCCGACCCTGCCAAGATCGTCAAAGCGAACTCCAGTGGAGAATAAGAGAGCCTTCACAAATGAGAGTGAATTCGAGCCGAAGGAGATCTGGGGAGAAAGTCCAAAAACGAGGGTATTGTGGATCCATTCCATGACACTAGAGACGCACTACTATAGCTTGTCCAACCTCACGGCAAGATACTATTGGTGAGCGCACATACACAGTACCCGTGACGTAGAACCACTGTTGCACATTTCTCATCCTCGTGGAGCAATTATTACCGGGGTGGCTGAATAGGATCAATGGATACCCCCTCATACCACTCATAAGTTATGTACTCCATTCATAGTAACCTGTTATTATACTTTCACCCCTTGACGTCTCATCTCCAACGATCAGCTGTATTCTATGTAATTAGTATACTAGTACTAGTTGGGCTTTTATGGCTGGACTCTTGGTTGCCAATATGTGAGGCCCCGTCACAAGAGACCAATCAATCCCATCAATGGGACCTGAGCACTAATAGTTGAGAACAAGTATTGTTAGGCAAGGATCTTCAAGTGAAACTATGAAAACCACAAGTTCAAATCACTCTCCACATGGTAGGTTTAGCCTAAGTTTATACTCTCTGAGGTTACTTTATGCCGCTGCTCACATCGAGCGGGAAATCAGCTTCGTCCTTTGTTCCTGTCTCTTTCCACTCCCCTCCCCTCCCCTCTTTTACTTATAATATCTACTTCGCCGGGCAGCCCAGAACAACTCATTTGTAAACAGACCATTGCATCTCGCTCTGCACCTCTCCCCCGCCCGAAAGTATAGGTAGCCAACATGAAGCTGTACTATATCTCTGTCATACTCACCACCTGCCTGAGCACTGTTTTTGCTCAAGGAATGGACGGCCTACCAGACTGCGCGGTATATATTCCCACGGTTAAGATTGTTGATTACTGCTCCTTAATGAGCTTCTTTTGCTGAGATGGACCCAAGATTGTCTGCTGACAGAACCACAACAGAAAGATTGCGCTACTGGCTCCATTCCCAAGCAGTGCCAAACTATCGATGTTGCTTGTATCTGCGGTGACAAAAGCTTTATCAACAGTATATCTTGTTGTGTCGCCAACAAGTGCTCAAAGGATCAACAAGATGGTAAGTCCTGCCTTGTTGTCTTTCACTGACACTACGAGTATAACGCAGAATCATACGCGTAAGGATATATTGTCTTGCTAACATGGTCTCGTATAGCTGTTCTCAAATTCGCAGGCCAGCTCTGCAGTGGCGCCGGTGTAAATAACCTCCCCACGAGTGCTAGCTGCGCTGAGGGAAGCTCGAGTGCTACTGAGACATCTTCCGATTCTTCAGCATCCAGCAAGCCGACTACTTCGGGTTCTTCTGATAGCTCTGCATCACCAACTGCTTCCAAATCCGACAGCAACACTAAGACCTCATCTACCTCAACAGCGTCACCTACTGCCAGTACTGGCGGAGCTGGCCTTGTACAAAGCAAAGACACTAGCCTCCTTGCTGCTATTGGGGCGGCGGTCTTCGCATTCCTTGCGTAGAGAAGTGAGACGCGGGCCGCCTCTTTTCGGGTACACAGAATGGGAGATAAATATGACTACGGAGTACCTAATGACGAATCGGGGAAGTCAAGCAGAGAACAAGTTTATGTCTACATCCAAGTCAGCAGAGGAGCAATTGTCTAATATGTATTTAATACGCTCTACGAAGTCCACATTCTAGTGATCTTCAGCGTCCGCCCATGAGAACGCATCGATAAAGTCGAAGGAAATGTGCGTAGTTACGATAGCTTTTGTTGTCTTTGTAGTAGCAAATTCCATTTAGTTATTCCCACACTTTCGCACAATCGAAGGAGCCTACGACACTTGTTGGTCTTGTTCTGCGAACCGAACGGCGATCTCATGTCGTTCTTCGCGAAGAGTAAGGAAAATCTAGAACATTTAATCAGATCTGAAGATCAAAGTAGGTTCTAGAAGAGGTCATGGAACTTACCCAAAGCCAAAACATCATTTCCATAAAGCCATACGTGAATATCACTCTGTTTTTCAACTGGTCCAAGCCAGAAGCGGGCTCTTGGCCATACCCATCAACTGTATGGCGACCATCCACTCCCCAATCCGATGGCTTACTCTGGTATATAAAGAACGAAACAGCAAAGAAAAGGCAAAAGCGTGAAGCAGAGAGCAGTGTCCAAATTTCCGTGTAAAGTGAGGCGAGACGTGCTAAGAATGGATTCGTTCGCATAGCTCCTGCGATGGACGTGGGGGCTGCGGACCGAGCGATTTCTGCCATTGCAATAATTTCATTGATTCGGGGGACCTTTGTGACGAGGATAAGATCGACGAGGGCATCCGCGACCAGGAGGATGCCGCATAGCGCAAAAGGGGATTGAGGACGGGAAAGGGATGGTGCAGCATCCTGAAGTAAACGACTTGTTAACCTCCGACAAGGAGAATATTTTCAGCGATCGAGCATATGGTTTATTCTTACTATTTGTAAGGTCTCCCCTAGCATGAAAACCACATCGGAGTCCGTAATGACTTCTGGTGACCTGGTGAGGTAGACGGCGAGGATGAACAGAAACAAGGCATGTGCCTTTATCAGCGTTTTAGATGACAATAGACCCATCTTGTTGTTTGTGGGCACAGGTTGAAGGATGCGTGGAATAAAACAGAGTGCTGTAAATGAAAATAGTGATGTTGGTGTCTGAATGTCACCTCCGCATGTTCAGTAATATTCAGAGTGAGGTTGAGTCGAGACCCATAGAGCTGGGAGTTTATTTTGATTAATTGTTTTTCTTTTCGGTTTTCTCTCCCTAAGAATCAATGCAAACCATGTGGGGTTAAGTGGGCGGCAGCTGTTAACTCCGAGAGTGTCCGCCCGCCAAATGAGAAAACGAGATTAAAAGGTGACTGATGGCATGATAGCTGGACAAAGAATCTCTGACGCATATCACGTACAGCTTTCATACTATCTGCGCAAATTTTATGGCCAGTACCCTGGATCATAATCCATACCTTCATCGCCGTAACCATGACCGAAGCCGTTTTTCATAAGGAACGTCACCTCAAGTATTTCCTACGATGCCTCAAAACGTTTTTACCGGGCTTATATACCTCCAATGACTCGAATCGCATCCTGCTCGCTTACTTCACCGTTGCAGGCCTGGATCTCCTCGGCGAATTATATAACAAGACAACTCCCGAAGAGCGGCAAGGGTATGTCGAGTGGATCTACCACTGCCAGGTGCCTTCGGGAGGCTTCCGGGGATTCACAGGGACCGACTTTGGGTCAGAACGGCGAACAGCGGCAAACGAAGCTTGGGATCCGGCCAATATTCCCTCGACATTCTTTGCATTGGTGATACTGTTGACTTTGGGTGATGATCTGTCACGGGTAAAGCGAACTGAGTGTCTACAATGGCTCTCCAGAATGCAGCGCGAAAACGGCAGCTTTGGTGAAGTCCTCGGCACAGAAGGGAAGATTGAAGGCGGCGGCGATTTACGATTTTGCTGTTTCGGTGCCGGTACGCGATATATACTGAGAGGGAAATGTGGGAGTGACCTCGAGGGTATCATGGATATAGACGTAGATAGGTTGGTCGCGTTTATCGAGGCCTGTCAAGTAAGAAATGAAATGCCCCTTCTGCACTTTCTACTATCCCCGTTGATTATGATTTGGCTAAGGATTCCTCTAGGCATACGACGGCGGCATAGGGGAGGGGCCCTTTTGCGAATCCCATTGTATGTCCTGTTTACCAAACCCCGCTACGCAACGACTATCCCAGATGCATATGCCGTCCTTCTAACTTTTGTGTCGCAGCTGGTCACACTTATTGCGCTATTGGTGCTCTAACATTCCTGGACCGCCTTTCGAAGAACCATAAGCCGATCGCGTTACTTTCGGCCAAAGCTGGGCCTTTCGAGTCTTTGGTCAGATGGCTTGTTGCACGACAAACATCTGAGCTCGGCGACGATGAGGAAGAATCCGACGAAGAAGATGGCCACGGCATAGATGAGGTTAAACCTTTATCAGCGACAGTTGAGGAGCCCAGTTTAGACGCAAAAGTCGATCGGCTCCCTGTTGTACCGCCGGAAACAGAGGATTCACTGCGATGGGCAGGATTTAACGGACGCTGTAACAAATATGCCGACACTTGTTATTCTTTCTGGAATACTGCATCTCTGAATGTGAGAAGCTACACCTCGACAAACTTGAAATGCGTATCAAGCTGATAGTAAAGGAACAGATGATGAATAGGCTAGCGTTGGTGGATGCGACTCGGAATCGGCGATACCTCTTAGAGAAAACGCAACATATCGTTGGTGGATTCGGAAAGGGCGTGGGAGAGCCACCAGGTAAGTCTAGCGTTTGCTTGTGGACCTTTCTCTTTTACTCTTTTTGCAGTATAGCTAATCAACACGCACAGATCTGCTACACTCTTACTTCGGGTTGGTATCGCTCGCATTTCAAGGGGAACCGGGCCTTGAAAGTGTCGATCCAGCACTTTGTGCAAGTCATCGCGCAGTTCGACATTTACATTCCCTACCCTGGTGGCAGGAGACAAAAACGAGATGATGGCTAGCAATCAAATCGCAGCGTAAACAAACAACTTCTATGTCATATACCCCAACCGTCCCACTATTATAATTATGATATTCAGTAGATTTGCCGGATGCATGACTATAAAATAATGTTATGCAATCGTCATACGATCAATCTCAGGTACATCTGGTTCATTGCAAGGGAGAAAAGTAGACTGGGTGGACTCCGTTAGTTTGTATGAACGCTCCTCGCTAAACTCAACATGGTTATGGGAAAGGCGCTAGAGAGGACTAGTGCGGTATGTCATAATTAATTTCCTTTCTAAATTTATGTGATTCAGGGGTTAACATCGGATGAGATAAGCCCGCCCACTTTGAGAGAGAATGGATGTGACTCTTTCAGTTAAAAGAAAATTGGCGAAGGAAAGAGGTGCAGTTCTCCAGGCTGCATTGGGATCTCCTCGTCCTGATTCTTGTTTGTTTGTTTGTTTGGATTGGAGGGAAGACTGAAAGGACATGTGACATGATCCCTCGCATGAGAAACAAAAGTTCGGTCGGAAAAGAAGCATACATAATAAGAGTAATCAAAATCAAAGTCAAAAAAAAAAAAGGACAAGAAAAGCAAAGTACAGGCATTGATCCCTACGCTATGACGAATTAAAAGCACTTTTATACTTTCCAATGACAAGAAACGGCCCACGTTTTCACTCAGCTAATGGAGAAAATCATAATACAGTCTAAGGAACGAAGAAATAGTTTCCCATCGGCTTTGAACGAGCTAATTAACGGCTCAACCGCTTATGCAATGTCCTGTTGGCTGTCGTCAGAGCCTTTTCCTTACTTCATCCCATACTAATTGTCCTCTCCTGTCACGCACCACACCACTGGTATACACACAAACACATATTTGCTTGTTTGATTGACAATTAAGCCCACTGGAAGTTTGCTTGGCTGCATTTCTCCATTACTTGCTCTCTTTTCTTTTTCTCAGACCCCCTCTCTTACTTCGATCCGTTCGTTTCTTGTCCTTCGTAGTCCGTTATTTTTGTGGTATGCTTGCTTTTTTCCCCCCCTTGCTTTTTTCCCCTCTGCTTTCTTCGCTAGCACCCCAAAGCATTTCTAGGCATTATTTGTTCTGCTGGATACATTTTTATAATAAACTGACATTGTATCATTTTGTCCTAGCTGATCGCCTCCCCGGCTGCGGCTCGACCCCTTCTCCTTCCGTTTTGATATTGCGGTCCACTCCTCCGCGGCTTCCACCAGCTACGCCATCCTGCACTCTCTCTTTTGACCAAGACTCGGAGATAAGCTCCATTATCTTTCGATATTTTGCTCCGTGAAATATTCCAACCCTCGCTGTATATTACTCGGTCTGCCTTCGAGCTGTATCGAGTGGCTTGCTCCTTGATTCACGGCCTCCGCATCACGCTACAGCCTACGTCCCGATCCCTCTCTACTCAAATAAGCGGTCTTAATGTGCTCGATCCTTTGAATGGCAGTCGCACACGAATTACGATTGTCTGAAGATACTACACAGAAGCTCAAGAAGCGCATTTCTCGTCTCCGCGGTGTATTTTAGAACAGGCGGGGATTTATCTTAACACATGCCGCCTCCCAGGACGAGAGCGGAGGTTCATGCCCAAAAACAAAAGGAGAAGGTTCGTTGGTTTCAGCTTATCGAGTCAATAGCATCATTCTAGCTATGCGCCAATATGGATCATACTGCGAGGTTTTCTCTGCAGATCCAGTATATCCTTCATCGTCCTTGTGACCAAATATTGTTTACTACCGGTCCCATCAATCTCACATTTTTGATTGAAGCCTAGCTAACTAGAAACTACACTACAGCTCGCCCAGTCCTACCATGAATTACTCGAGTAAGCACCTCCTTTCTCTCTCTACTCCGGCCAGACCTATAGTTACTCACGACGTCATCTTCGTCAGGGAATTCTCTTCAAAGGATCTTCGGAGTGTAGGGAACTATACACTCGGAA